TCATTTTAAAAAGTCTTTATTTGTGTTCTAAAGATAAAAGAAGGCCTCGTGGTTTTGGAACTACACGAGGATAAGTAAACGATGACACAGACAGTTTATGTGAACTGTCTCTTTTAGCTCTCCTAAATTGGCATGTCTGCAACGTAGATTTATTCCTCTAGTCTTTTTTGCCTGGACACATTTTGGCAGGTCTCCCAAAAATCAAGTAACTCAAGCAGGACATGCTGTAATTTTAATTACACATGTTGTACATGCATGCTTTACATTTTTATTTATTTATTTTACATAGATCATAATGCATTCTAATGCCAAGCCACACATAAAGACTTTAAAAAAAAGAAAAGAAAAGCAGTTGGTTATATTAATAATTTGCACACTCTTGTTCAGGCATGGGCTGGTATAAGATTCTAATGGCATGATAATTTTAGATATTAATAGTATTGTGATTACGTCTCTAAAATATATTCTTTTTAGATGTCTGGGTAAAAAAAAACAATGTTTTCCTCTTTGAACACATTATATTTTATTTTGTGAAACATTTATAATATTTTAGAGCAGTAATCTCAGGCCTAATAATTCAAATGAAGCCTTGACTTCTGCTGTCTTGATTAGTTTCAGAAACACTGATTTCTTTTTATACAATTTAAAATGTCATCTTTGAAGATCTTTTCTGGTGGAGATACTGTTGCCCTAAAAGTTAAAAACTAAAAACATAAATAAAAAAATCTTACACATACAGTAGGAATGGTATAGCAGAAATTTTGGACGGTTTTAAAACCTTTACCAAACTGCAGTATACCTTGAAAACGGTTATCATCCCGTGCCTACTCTTGATGCACTTCATTTTCTCTCAGGTTTTGAAGTTTCAGTAAGGTTGGTGAGGGCAACTCATTACTTGCATTATGCTGCTACATTCTTAAACGTCGTTTCGATTCCACCCTTTCAATTCATAGGAAATTCATTTGAAAAAACTGTGCTATCTAAAACCACAATGGAATGGAATGGAATGGACAAGTTCCCTAGAATGTAATGGACAGGAAAACATTTCCCTGACAGAACAATCCCATGTAGCACTCAGCAGTAATCAGAATTAAAATTACTATTTGCATTTTAAATTATGTTCAGAGTCTCGAGAGGTTCGAAAAGCCGCACTTTGGAGATTCTGAACACCCAAGCTCTATGTGCAACAGGAAATTAAGGCATTAGCACATCATCCAATAAATGGCACTAACACATAAATCAAATAAGGCCTCAGCTAATGTAATTCGTTCTCGTGAGAGGACAGTAAAAGAATGTGGTTCAAGTGAGCATACAGTTCTCTTTACTTGTAGTTATTCCATCACATGACCACTTGTTGTTACTTTAATAAATGCTTCATGACCTGTTGATTGCACCTTTCTGTGGGCTGTGACTCTGCCAAAAGAGAAAAAAAACATCTCCAAACATCTTTCCCTCTCATATCCTACTCAAACATCCCTGGGCTTCCAGAATGAACAATTAGTGGAAGCTGTAGAGTCAAAAGCAATTTGTGAAACGCAGGAATCAAGGAGGCTTTTGGGATGCAGTGTGCTGGGGGGTGTGTATAAATAACAGTGAAGCACTATTGTGTGACACAATACGTCATTGTTCACTACTGGTGGAGGCCGCGTAGCTGAGATGACAGAACACACTTGTGTATTAATATGACAGACCCTCGCCTAACTGGATTGAAACCGCACTGTTGTAAGATAACATACTTTGCGCTTTAACATTAAAGCCATATCAGATCTCTTACTGGCCAACAAAAATGGCTAACTAAAAAAATATCAGTCAACACAACACATGCAATTGCAAACATCAATATTCAAATAAATATTTAAAAAAATATATAATAACTAAATAAAAAAGTGAATATTGGTCATATATTTTGGTGCATTTAAACAAAACATATTTATTAAGCATATATATTTATTAAAATAATATTTAGGAACCCAAACATCTTCAGAAATAAAAAGAAAATACATTTAAATTAATGTTTAATGCTGGGAAAAAAATACAAACAACATTTCCACATAATTTTATACATTTTTTTGTTTCTCTTGAGTTCTTGAGCTCTTTAAAAAAATAACAATAATATTTTTAACATATAAATGTTGGTGTACTAATTTTAGACTGTTATCGTAAGTTATTTTGTTAGATAAGCTCCAGATTTGGCTTCAGTAGTGACTAATCCAATGTATATGTTTGAACATAATATTGTAAAGCTTCCGATGGAAAATATTAATCTAAATGAGAGATTTGTGAAGGGTGTACTCATATATGCTGAGCACTGTATGTTGTATTTCTGTAAATGTCAGTGTGTGTTTTGCAGTCTGTTCTGTCAATTCTGTTTTATTTTGGTGAACAGTTAACATGAGTCCATTTACATTTCCTGTAACCTTTGTGAACCATATTTGCAAAATTAAACACATGATGGTATTGATGATGATGACGATGATGCATGTTTCTTGAATAAAAGAGACTTGCATTAAGATGCAAATAATATACATCACAACAAATAACCAACAAATATGTGCAAATTACTTATCCCATCAAATTACTTTTTTTTCTAATTTAACTTTTTTACAAGTTACAAGTTCTATTCTTTGTTTAAATATAAAAATGGGACAATTTAAAGAATTTTGAGGCATGTTGTGCAAAATAATACCTTTTTACATATCATCTGAAATACATAATCCGAAAATATATGCAATTACAAAAACACCAGCAAATTAAGAACCGATTTTCATGAGTTTGACGACACACGTTGCAAATTCTCACAAACAACTAAAGAAACTCGGTGCATTTTGTCACAACACTTGCTAATATCTACTTAACACAAGAGAAATGTTTCAAGGGGACCCAAAAACATGACAGACCCTGCTGAGATATGTATGTGTTATGTCGTGGCTGTTGCTCAGTGAAGTTGTTGATGGTCTTTGAAAGGTGAGATTTTTTTGTTTATTTTAATGCTGATTACACCATTTCATTGTCTTTTGTAAATTATTAGCCTAATTGATGATTAATGAAAATGTTGCATTTTTAAAGTTGTTTGAGTTGTGACCAAATGCTGTGTGTTTCTTCAATTGTTTGCGTTGTGACCAAATGCAGCGTGTTTCTTGAATTGTTTGTGTTGTTTTAAAACGCAGCACGTTTCTTTGATTGTTTGTTGTAACAAAACGCAGCACGTTTCTTCAGTTGTTTGTGTTGTGACCAAATGCAGTGTGTTTCTTAAAGTGTTTGTGTTGAATTAAAACGCAGCACGTTTCTTCAATTCTTTGTATTGTAACAAAATGCAGCACGTTTCTTCAGTTGTTTGTGTTGTAACAAAATGCAGCGTGTTTCTTCCATTGTTTGTGCTGTGACCAAACGCAGCGTGCTTCTTCAGTTTTTGTGTTGTGACAAAACGCAGCAGGTTTCTTTAGTTGTTTGTGTTGTAACAAAATTCAGCATGTTTCTTCAATTGTTTGTGTTGTAACAAAATGCAGCACGTTTCTTCAGTTGTTTGTGTTGTGAGAATTTGCAACACGCGTGTTGTCAAACTGATGAAGATCGTTTCTTAATTTGCTGGTGTTTTTGTAATTGCAAGTGTTTTCTTAAATTGCAGCGTGTTAATCTCTCTTGGCCTCTGTACCAAATAGAATAACCATGCTGAATTTAATAAACAGCATGAAAAAAGTAAGTAATCTAAAAGTAATCCAAAAGCAGTCAGAATACATTACCTAAAGTTAATTATCTAGATTCCATTACTGACTACGTCTGACTAAAAATGTCTGCACTCCACAGCATTATAAAAAGTCATGTTACTATATTATAAATATATTATAAGTGACTATAATACATTATAATAATCAATTAATTATAAACTTGATAAAAAAGCAAAAATAATTATGCTATTTATATATTGTATTATTATTTATTCAATGCAATATTTCAATGCATTATTATATTATATTATATTATATTATATTATATTATATTATAGCCATTTTTTCATTTACATCTAAAAAGAAGAATCCGATTACCCAGATAAAGTTTATGTCAGGAATACTTTGTTAATAATCACACTAAATAAAAAAGCTGTATTAAATTGACATGTCGAAGGCAAAATCTCTACAATTTTCGAGAAAACTTCCCATCCTCCAAGTGTCTTAAAAAGCACTGAGAGAAATACAGGTCAGATTATGCAACAAGAGATTTATCACAATTAATACAGTCGTCCATGTCGTGAGAACTTAATCTGCATTTGGGAATCTGCTCAGACAGACATATGGCATACATGAGTTTAATAAAAAAAAAATAATTACAACTATGCATGTAGGCTACTATAAAAGTGGTGGGTGTGTATGTAAAGTTTCTCCCCATGTAAGTTTGCTGAATGGAAATGATTTCTGCAGGGGCCTCCAAAATGGCATGTTATTCTAGCACAATCCCCGGTGACTCCCACAAATGTTGTGTCTGTGAGGAACTGGCAAATTATATCTGGGTGTTTCTAATTCAGTTTAAACCAAACTGTGACATTCAGCGAGTGTAAAGCCTGTGGATATCGGATTCCTCAGTGAGTAAAAACACACCCTGCCAATCTCACACACCACAGTACAGCACAGTACAGTACATGCTGACTACATGACTGCTGCTTCTGCTGCTGATCCTGAAACGAGAATCAATGCAGTTTCATCTGAACAGTCAACAATCCTGGCTAATGGTTAAACTAACGTTAGCGACCACTACCAAAAAAAAAGTACATGACAGCTTCTGCAATATAACTTCTGAACAAAACCTGGGGTACCTTTAGAACACCAATTTATATCGTTTGCAAGAAATGAGTTAACTTATAATAATAAAATGAAACTAAAAGTTGAAACACCTCAATACACACTCTGATGAGCGTTTAGATGTGGAATCAAACCAACCGCTATGCGATATCTAACTTAACGTTAGATGTCAACTGGAATGTAAAAGGATTGTAAATAGCACCTTACCGTTGTTGATTCGCGTCACATATTCCCGTGTTTTGTCGCTGTGTTGATGCTGGAGCGTTGTAAACTCCAATAATGTGAGATGTGGTGGAGAAAGTTTGAGTGTTGAGCTGCTGATAGTTGTGTTTGTTATACCGGAGGTTTCAGTGCACGGCGCTGCTCAGCACTGTGAGCTCTTAAAGGGACAGTGTTCAGCCGACAGTTAACTGATCGCCGCGCTCTTAAGAGCCACAAAACCACAACAAATTACAGTGGTTTAAAATGTTACTCTTCTTCCATTCAACAAAGTACATAGTAAAATACTGTTTTTGCACTTGGTGTGTGCATGTGTCGGACTGCCTGTGTCATCTGCTTGTTTTACCTGTGCAAAAAAGTTTGTAGTTTTGATTGATGAAAAAGAAATGTGTTTAATATTGCCATAATTATCAATACATTTGTTTAGGAGAGCAAAGATGTTTAGCTTTACTTTCATATTGTTCCAGTTATTTTTTTATATATTTTCTTGTTTTTAACATTTGAGAGGATGCGTGCATTTAGGAGTATGCGCAGGACTTCCGGTGCCACCACATGGTTATTTACCTGTACAAAAACAGTATACATTGTGCTGCTTTATTTTAATGGTAAAGTCTAGTTGGGATACAGCTGCGGATACTCACATCAATATAGCATCATTTTTGTGACACTGTACAACAGTTAATGCAATACTGTGATGGTTTTGCATTCGCAATTTAATGAACAATAAAACCAATATTAATAGCCTACTGGGTATAATCACTGTGATGGTTGCGTTTAGGGTTAGGGTAGGGGTAGACGTCAATAAAATGCAATTTAATGGATAATATAGCAAATATTAAGAATAATACAGGGTATAATTACTGTTTTTGCATTATTGTGGTGGTTGGGTTCAGGGTTGGGGTAGGGGTAGATGCTATTCATTCATTTTCTTTTCGGCTTAGTCCCTTTATTATTCAGGGGTCGCCACAGCGGAATGAACCGCCAACTTATCCACCATATGTTTTACGCAGCAGATGTCCTTCCAGCAGCAGCCCAACACTGGGAAACCCCCATACACTCTTGCATTCACACACACACACACACACTATGGACAATTTTATTCAATTCATGTATTGCATGTGTTTGGACTGTGGGAGAACCCGGAGTTCCCAGAGGAAACCCTCACGAACACGGGAGAACATGTAAACTCCACACAGAAATGCCAACTGACCCAGCAAGGGCTTGAACCAGCGACCTTCTTGCTGTGAGTCGGTCGTGCTAGGCACTGTTCCACTATGACACCTCGGTAGATGTTAACTTTCAGTTTTTGTATTCCTTCTAGCTATAATTAATTTATTGTTATTTATTATCTATTATTCATATTTATTACCAAACAGGCTTTATTCCAATTTTTTTTTTTTTGACTACCTTATAGCTAGAGCTGCTTGAACATTAAATGTGAGTTATTCAATGTGTTGTAAAAAAAAAGTGGCTATTGAATCATGAATCAGTCTTGTCTTGCACATTCACTGCAAATAGACTAAGTTGCAAAATATGCTGGATTGCAGTTCAGTCTGTAAAAACACTGAAAGCATTTTCCTGTTCCCTTAGGAATTTTATTATTGGCTTTTAGAACGGCCGTTTCCGTTTTTGAGTGAAATTAGGTTTGTGGTTACCATTAGGCCTACTTCAAGTCACTTTTCATGTAATTTTCATGTCCTTTCGTGACTGCTCAATCCAGCAAAATTAGCAACACAGTCCCAACTTGGTTTAACTGGATTTATTACTGATAAAATTTCTTCCAAATGTGTGTATATATATATATATATATATATATATATATATATATATATATATATATATATATATATATATATATTTATATTTATAGAGAGAGAGAGAGAGAGAGAGAGAGAGAGAGAGAGAGAGAGAGAGAGAGAGTATTTAGCTTTTTTCAGAATTTGAAAATTGGGAAAATAACAGATGTCTTCATGTTTTTGTGAATAAAACAGGATTATTATGGATTAAAATATGGATTTGTTCATTCTTCTTAACTTGAAACACTGGTTTTTGTTCATCTAAAAGTGAACTTTAACTTTCATATTAAATTACAATAAATATACTAGATTTAATGATAACAATAATTATTATTACAGCCCTCAGCATATACAAGTACACCCCTCACATCTATCTTTATAATTCATAGTTTTTAATAGCAAGCTACAATATTATATTTGTGCATGTACATTAGATTAGTCAGTACTGAATCTTACCTAACAAAATACCCTACGATAACAGTACAAAAACGAGTACACCCAAATGTATATGTTATGGAACAATCTTAAATACAAATTTTAAAAAAGAGGAAAAATCAAGAAAAGCAAAACAATTGAAACATATAGTTGCATTTCTGTAGTTTTTTGTGTGCAATATTTAGTTTGAAATGAATTTGTATTATCTTTCAATTCCTAAATATATTTGGTGACTAAAATATAAATGTATTAAATATATATGTTTAATAAACCTATTTTGTTTAAATGCACCAAAATACATTGCCTATATTCACTGAGAAATTGATACAAAATATTCAAAATTGGGTGTTCTCAATTATGCTGTGCACTGTACAGTATATAGCCTACTAGATTTTATTATTTTATGCAAACAAAATAAAAAATAAAAATGTTTAAATGACTAGACCTTAATTTTGAATTAGTAGGAAATGTTATCATAAAATCAAAAATATTTAGAAGATATTTGAGGTGGTAGCTGTATATATGGGTGTGTGTGTGTGCATTTGTATGTGCCTGCAGTATAAATCTTACTGTCATACATAAGTGACGTCATTAGGGTTGACAATAGAGTGGGTTTTTAGGTTGAGAGCTGCAGATGAAGTGAAGACATTAGGCTTAATGTGAGAGAAAGCCGGAGGGTTCACTTCTGAAGTTTCCTCTTCTCCCCTACAGGCCGATCTGATTGATGTAGGCAGGAACTGTTTCAGATGGGAAGCAGGAAGTGTCTGAGACAATAGAGGTTTTGAGGAGTGGTCCACAGCTGTACATTTATGGATGAAGAAAAAGGATACTGTTGTGAATAAACTTTCCTCACTGCCAAACGACAGAGGAAAGCTTTTCTACTCTAAACAACAAATCCTTAGAGCTAAAGTTATAAATAAAAATGCAAAATATTTCTCTCTATACTATTTAGCTCACAGGCTTTCAGTTTTTGCACAACTACTGCACTACTACTCCCAATAACTTCTAAAATGTGGAGTACTTCTCATTCTAAAATTTAAAAGCCATTTTTTAATAATTTATAATTTATATTTTATTGCGTATTTATATAATATATTAGTTGAAGTCAGAATTATTAGCCCTCCATTTATTTATTTTTTTTATTTTTTAAATATTTCACAAAAGATGTTTAACAGAGCAAGGAAATTTTCACAGCATGTCTGATAATGTTTTTTCTTCCGGAAAAGTCTTATTTGTTTTATTTCAACTAAAATAAAAGCAGTTATTAATATTTTTAAAATCCATTTTAAGGTCTAAATTATTAGCCTCTTTAAGGTTTTTTTTTTTTTTGATAGTCGACAGGACGAACCATCATTTTACAATAACTTGCCTAATTACTCTAACCTGCCTAGTTAACCTAATTAACCTAATTAAGCCTTTAATGTCACTTTAAGCTGTATAGAAGTGTCTTGAAAAATATATAGTCAAATATTATTTACTGTCATCATGGCAAAGATAAAATGAATCAGTTATTAGAAATGGGTTATTATATTATTTTTAGAAATGTGTTGAAAAAGTCTTCTCCCCGTCAAACAAAAATTGGGGGAAAAATAAACAGGAGGGCTAATAATTCAGGGGAGTTAATAATTCTGACTTCAACTGTATATTTCTCAATTTTTTTATTTAATTTAATTTGTATTTGTATGTGTAATACTGTGAAAAAAAAAATTCTGTAAAGTATTTGTAAAAAATTATTAAAAATATTTTTATGTTACATTGTTAGGATCATTTTAAAATTAATTACTATTAAATAAATATATACATTTTTCATTATTTAATGAATTATGTAATAGCTGTTATTAAACAATAGATAGTTATGTTATCTATATTATATTTATTTATTTTTTTATTTAAATTATATTTGTTATTATTATAAATTATAAATTAAATTATACTTGTTTCTTGCTTATATATTTAATTATAAATTGAATTATTATTTGTATTATTAAAACTAAAAGCCATTTATAATTGATAAAAATCTCAATTTAAAAAATAAACCATTTAGAATAATTTGAGTATTTTATCAAATTAAATTTATTTACTGTTTATTTTATTATTCATTCATTCATTCTTTCATAAATTAAATTCAATTCAATTTTGGTCATATTTTCCTCCATGTAGGTCCCTTTAATCCAGTAGGTAACCTTTAACCTTTTACACTTTGTTTTGAGGGGAAAAATAAAAAACAACACTACTGTTTATTCATTCATTCATTCATTTTCTTTTCGGCTTAGTCCTTTTAATAATCAGGAGTCTCCACAGCGGAATGCATTGCCAACTTATCCAGCATATGTTTTACACAGCGGATGCCCTTCCAGCTGCAACCCATCACTGGGAAACACCTATTTGCTCTAATTCACACACATTTACTACGGACAATTTAGATTACCCAATTCACCTACTGCATTGCGCATGTCATTGGATTGTGGGGGATACCGGAGCACCCGGAGGAGACCCACGTGAACATGGGGAGAACATGCTAACTCCACACAAGAATGCCAATTGACCCAGCCGAGGCTTGTTCCAGCAACTTTCTTGAGGGTACCCACTGCACCACCCACAACACTACTACTACCAATAATTAAAAACCAGTTTTATAAATACAAGAGCAAACATTTTATTCTTAGGACAATGCATTAAGAAAAATGCCACTGAGTGAAAATCACACACAGAGATCCAAACCTAAACAGAGTTGATTTTTACAGCCCCTGAGGTCTTCAAGGCAGTGAAATACAGACTGAATCTCCTGATGGAAAAGGATTGGTGGAAGTCCTTGCTATAAGCCAGTGTTTCTCAACCACATACCTGGAGGACCACCAACTCTGCACATTTAAATTGTCTCCTTAACCAAAAACACCTGATTCAGATAATCAGCTCATTAGCAGAGACTGAAAGACCTGTAATGGGTGTGACAGACTCAGAAGACATCCAAAGCATGCAGTGTTGGTGGTTCCCCAGGAACGTGGTTGAGGGACACAGCTATAAGCAATCTCACTCGGGAAACCTTCACCTCTGAATACAGGGCAGAAAGATGTGTTTTACCTGTTATATACTGTAACTGATTGACACAGGAGTAATTTAGCATTTATAGGGGTATGCTATAAACATTTGCACTGGGGTTGGAAAATGTTGAGTACTAAAGTCATTACACTTACAGAATATTTAAGGTAAGACACTGCAGACAAATAACTATTTGTCACCAACTATACTTCCTCAGTTGATTGAGCACATTATAGAAGAATTGCAAACCTTTTTTGGTCACACTTTATTTTTATGGTTCGTTTGTTGAATTTAAGTTACATTGCATCTGCATGGCAACTAATTCTCGTTAGATTTAAATTAGACTGTTAGGCTGGGGTTGGGGTTAGGGTTAATGTAAGTTAACATGTACTTGCAAAGTTTCTTATAGTCAGTGAAATGTCTGTTGAAGGAGCACTAATACTCAAATGGACCATATTACAAGTTTTTTTAAAATGCTATATTTGAATATGCAAATGATGTCTTATTTCATTAAATATTTGCTAGTTTGCATATAGTACATTTTTAGCATAAAAAAATCTCAGGATAAGGTTTTAAATTTTTGTTTTTGTCACATTTTACTTTATGTACAATTCTCACTATTATCATACCATTACCTAAGATTTTTAGTTCATTAAAGTTCTAATTTGCAGCTTATTAATAGTAAGATATAGTAGTTGGGTTTAGGTACAGGGTAGGATTTTGGATGTAAAATAAGATCATACTTTATAAATTGTTATATATAGCCAATGTCTTAATAATATGCAGGTAATAAGAAGGCCCACACGGAATATGCGCATGCAGAATTCAGCAGATTTTTAGCCCATCATTGATTCTATTTCTTTACCGCTTGTTTCTGTTTATTAAAAATGTATGTACATTTATATTTATTCAGTTTTAAATTAATTGCAGTAATATTATTGACTAATATGAAAATGTTAATTTGATTTATATACAGTACAGTCTGTAAAGTCATATTTAGTAGATATATTATATGACAGACTTGCTTTGTTTTCTGAATAAGTGGATCTAATTGGATTTGCATTAAATAAACATAGAATCAAAGTTAAAAAGATATTATTTTTATTTCACATGTTTTTTTAGTAACGATACTGCTAAAATAATTCAGCATAAATCTGCAGATTGCTAACAAAATTCTGCGCAGAAATAGCAAAAATTGTCCGCAGATTTTGCATGGCCCTAGAAATAAGCCAATATTTAATAGCGGGAATATGCACTAAAGAGTTACCATTTATTTTAACAAATTAGTGTCAAATGTTTTTACAGAGGGGATTATTCCATAATACAAACACTACCACAAACAGGAAGAAAATAAAAATGTAAAAAGTAAAACTTCACATTTTTTGTAGAATAAAACACATGAACATATCCCTCTCTAATATCCTTTAAAATACAGATTTAAATAAAACTGTTTATGTAGGAGGCTACTCACTTCCACAAAATGGGCTCTAAAATGTGTACTATAATTGAAATCAATAGACAAAATTGATAAAGTGTGATAATATATGTTAGTATTACTTTACAAGTGCATGAAAAAAAGCATTTTGTCTGCAGCATCTCACCTTAAAGCGTTAGTTCACCCAAAAATTCTGTTATTAATTACTCACATTCATGTTGTTCTACACTCCCCTGAGACCTTCATTCCTCTTTGAAACACAAAATAAGATTTTTTATATTAAATCCAAGATCTTGTTTCTCAGAGATGGGTTGCGGCTGGAAGGGCATCCGCTGCAAAAAAACTTGCTAGATAAGTTGGCGGTTCATTCCGCTGTGGCGACCCCGGATTAATAAAGGGACTAAGCCGACAAGAAAATGAATGAATGAATCCAAGATCTTTTGCATCAATGAAAGGTCCTGGTGCAAGTTTACTGTGAGCAATACAGTACTTATTGTTTAAAGAAAATCTGCACTCTGATGACCCGATGAGGAAGAGAAAACCTTTACAGTTTTTTTACTGCTTTTTGGGGCTCATATGTTTACAGTTGAACCACTGAAGTTACATGAAATGTATGGATAAAAGTTTTGCTTAATTTTCTCAATTTTAAACGTCTTTAATTGTTGCTGTTTATGGAGGATGAGAGAGCTCTTGGATTTCATCTAAAATATTTTCATTTGTGTTCCGAACATGATAGAATGTCTCAGGGGATTGAAACGACACAAGGGTTTACATTTTTGGTGTGAACTAATCCTTTAAAAATTAATCTGTAAGACATTAACTTTGAATGTTTTATTTGATCATACATGATAAAAGATGACTACAGAACTGTGTTGAGTGTATGGAGGTCTTGAAATCTCTGCAAACACTATAATGTTAGTTTGTTCTGTGCCTGATCTCCAGGATGGATATGAGAGAGCAGTTTTAGGTCTCGTCATCATCGCTGTGGTGCTGGGCTTTCTCCTCGCTGACGCCGCTCTCGTCAATGTTCTCCAGTGAATCTGCTCTCTGCACCGTCAGATCCGCCACGTTGATGCAGGGCAGTGTGTTCTGCTCCGGGTACCTCCATGGCTTCAGATTCGGCTCGTGTTTTCGCTTCCACTCAGGGTACTTCAGACAGGCCTTGTAAATCTTTTTCATTGCCTGCATGTGCAGAAGAAGATCGATAGATTTGGACCATTACATTTTTTTTACATTACATCATGTGTCTATTGGTGCGTTCCAAATGGGATAAATTGGCCTACAAAGGGAACTTAAGAGTGAGAGCAATTATGGGAATAATGAAGTGTCATTTTACATGCTTAAAGGGACAGTTCTCCAAAATTTATCTTAATCATTTTCACCTTTCACTTGTTCCAAACCTGTTTGAGTTTTTCTTTTCATTTCGTAAAAATTATAGAATTGAAATTTTTCTGTGATCTTTGCTTTTAAACCGAGATGTTAAAGAAAATGTGTTTTAATGAATTATTTTTATTACTTTTGACCCTTCATCTCTTCAAAACTCTGGAGTGAAGAGGAGTAAATGGAGTGCAGCATTTACACACAAAAGAAATTGCTGTTTTGTGACCAGCAGATGGAAGCAGAGGAAAACTGAAATTTGTAAGGTTGAGTTTTACTACCAGCAAAGCTGCAATTAATTACATTTTTTAAGTATATAAAAAAATAAAAATATGAATTGAAATAATACCATACTCAAAACTGATATACTTTTTACATATTTTATAAAACATCTTTACTGATATTTTACAATAACTATATTTTACTGTTTATAATCATAAGAGCTCTCCCAGAGATGGGTTGTGGCTGGAAGAGCATCCGCTGCATAAAACATGTGCTGGATAAGTTGGCGGTTCATTCCGCTGTGGCGACCCCAGATTAATAAAGGGACTAAGCCGAAAATGAATGAATGAAGTTGCACAAACATCCATTCATTCGTTTACTTTTCGGCTTAGTCCCTTTATTAATCTGGAGTCGCCACAGCAGAATGAACCGCCAACTTATCCAGCATACGTTTTACACAGCTGATGCCCTGCCACTGGAAAATGCACAAAATTTTTTCAGTTATTTTATATATTTAGATTAAAATAATAAATCTAATTATATTCCAATATTGGAAAATGACAATTTTAATGCTGTTTTATTATTTTCCAATGTTTTACGTAACATGTCTGCAATAGGGCGACACAGTGGCTCAGCGGTTAGCACTGTTGCCTCACAGCAAGAAGGTTGCTGGTTCGAGTCCCGTCTGGGTCAGTTGGCACTTCTGTGTGGAGTTTGCAATTTCTCCTTGTGTTCGTCTGGGTGCTCCAGTTCCCCCACAGTCCAAAGACATGCAGTACAGGTGAATTGAATGAGCTAAATTGGCCGTAGTGTGTGTGTTTGAGAATGAGTGTGTATGGGTGTTTCCCAGAACTGGGTTGCAGCTAGAAGGGCATCTGCTGTGTAAAACATATGCTGGATAAATTGGCGATTTATTCCACTGTGGTGACCCTGATTAATAAAGGGACTAAGCCGAAGGAATATGAATGAATAAATGATTGTCTGCAATAATATTTCCCAATAACAGTTTACACTTCTTTTAGAGACATAGTTTTTAAATGTGTCATTCTTATGCACATATATATAAAAGCAAAGGTTAAATATAAATCTTTACAAGCACACGGTTCTCACCTTTGGTGCCACAAACTGTGAGACCCTGTTCACTACCCACTTGGGTAAAGACCCTGAAAGAAAAAGAAAAGATAACCTTTTAAAACAAGATATTCCACTGTTAAATATATACTCAGTAGCACTAAACAGGTCCCGATAGTTAATGCATTCTTTACTATATAAACCTTATTGTAAAGTGTTACCAGTACAACACTAATGTAAACTCAAAAAGTGTACACTCCTGGAATCTCTGTAATTTTATAAAATAATACTCTTGTTTCCCGCAAACGCCTCTGATAGACACTTTAATGTTGTTTCTGTGTCGTTGGCGTCTGCTGTAATAAACTGACTGTAAGTGTCTGTCCCACTGGTCACAAACAGCTGGTGCATCACAGCAACGGAAGACATTAATAATCAAAGCCATCGCTCCGAGCAGCACGGAAAAGATGACATCAGCAAATTCATAAAATATGTGTAAAGCAGAAGATTCAAAGGCTTCCTGGCTCTTCACTCGCAACAGCACCACATTGTACACAAACGAAGAAGAAAAAAGGAGAGGATCTTCAACATGTTATGTAATATTACGTCACGAAACAGGCTTTCAATCTAAACACTTTTTAAAGAAAACATCATAATGAAATTGAACTGCTTTGATGTAGTGTTATTATGGCAAGCCGTTTTAACATTTAGTTTATAAAAGAATATTTTCATCATACAAGTAATTTTTTTTTAAGTACGAGTGCTTATTTATTACATAGTTGTACTTTAACACAGTATTTTAAATTCAATAACTTTGTGCAATTCATTCATTCATTTTCATTTTGGCTTAATCCCTTTATTAATCTAGGGTCGCCACAGTGGAATGAACCACCAACTTTTCCAGCATATTTTTTCCCCAGCGGATGCCCTTTCAGCTGCAATCCATCACTAGGAAACACCCAAACACACTCATTCACACTCATACACTATGGACAAATTAGCTTACCCGCTTCACCTATACCGTATGTCTTTGGACTTGTGGAGGAAACCGGAGGACCCGGAGGAAACTCACGGAAATATCAGGAAAACATGCAAACTTCACACAGAAATGCCACTCGAACCAGCGGCCTTCTTTAACTCAGATACTATTACTTAATTTTTAAAAGTAATGCGTAACTTTACGCATTACTTGAACCACCAACTATTGCAGAATATGTTTTGCACAGCGGATGCCCTTCCAGCTGCAACCCAGTACTGGGAAACACTCAAACACTCTTACATTCTCACACACACACACACACACACACACACACACACACACACACAAACACACACACACATACTCAAACACTATGGAAAATTTACTTACCCAATTAATTTCACTTATAGCATGTCTTTTGACTGTGGGGGAAACCTGAAAACCCACGCCAACAAGGGGAGAACATGCAAACTCCACACAGAAATGCCAACTGGCCCAGCTGGGACTCCAGCCAGCAACCTTCTTGCTGTGAGGTAACAGTGCTAACCACTGAGCCACCATGCCACCCATTAGACACTATTATATTTTGTAATTATTAGTAAAAAAAAATTATTTTACATCTCATGTCTGTTTTGTACTCTTATGTCATGACTAGTCAAAACAGATACCATTTAAATATAATAACTAAAATTATTACATAATTATATAATGATTATATTATTTATTATATAATGAATAGGTACTAGTGCATTTTAAATGGTAAATAAAGAATAAATACTAAAGAATACACATTTTTAGCTAATGAATGAGTAGTAGTAGTTATTGAAAAAATAGTATCTAAAAAAACAAGTATCGGTAACATAAAAATAGATGTTTTATAGATTAAATGTTAAAATGGCTTGCCATGGAGTTCTTGTATAAACGGCAACAGTTCTGAAAGTGTAAACAGTGTAAGTGTCATGTAAACACGCATATTCACAGTGTACTTTTCCACTTTCAAAGAAGAAGCTTTCTGATGCTCTCAGCCCAGTGAACTAACTTTTCGAAGTGAAACCTTTATTTACTTTAGTTTTTATTTTTACCATAAATGAAATAAGGAAAGTTCACCTCGTGGGTCCACTTGTGTTAAATAGTAAAGAGTACAGCTGTTTGCTCCATTGGATTGGATCAAGTATCCAGTTAGTAATGACACAGCTCTGACATAATCCTTCTTTGGTGGGTATTCCTGAAAAATAACAACAGCGACAGCTTAGTTTCATGAGCTAATTTAAAGATTAGAGCTTATTATAAAATTTGATCATTTACACAAACAAGTTTGACCATTATTTAACTAACCAGTTTAGAAATAGTATAAAACCCTAAGCATACATGACTTTGGACCTTATAAATAAATACACAGACATGAAATATGTTTGAGGAGAGATGTGCAATATTGACAAGAGATATCTCAATAATTTGAGGGAATGAGGTTAAACAGTAATTTGCTTATTAGGGATGAAACGTAGTGTAGGTCTGTCAGATCAAAACATTAGTTATCAGACATGTAAATAAAAAAGCAGATTTATTTGAAATGCAAACTTTATAGTTTCTGTGTAAATAAAAATATAGTTTCTACTTTCTAACTAAAAATCCATAAAAGCTACAAAAAAAAGTCATAATTAAGTTTTGTAAGTGAGCAACAATAATTGTAAAGTTTAATGGCAGATTTTTGCTCATGGGTGAACGTTAAAGAAAACATTTGTCATTATTTGTTCATTTAAACTACATGTAACATGACAGACATGTCAGCCACATGAGCATTTTACAAACCTGATGCAGAATATTTATAATAAATATTTATTAAAATTTTAAATGTGTTACTTGTATTATTTTTATACACTGATTTGGAGGACATGAATCAAATGTACATTTCTGTTCAGTATAACAATAACACCTGTTCAAATTGTGTATAAATATTCTGATTTACAATTAAACATGTCATCCATTAAATCATACATTTATATCACCACAATCACTGGAAAACATTGTTGTATGTGGGTTCCATGACAGCGTTATTCAAATAGGAATACATTAAGTATAAATACAAATGCAACAACGATCACTCGACTGATTTGAGACCTATCCACATGATTTACACGAACAATAATCTATATAACACAAATTACACGAATATAAACTATATTAAAAAATTATAGTACACATTTATAAAATATATTGTAGTTTTAAAACTGGAAAAAAATATATTGAAATAATCTTTTTAACATTTTATCGCCTACTTCTAATCACATCCCATTCCTTTACATGGAGAAAGTGGGATTTTTGACCGATACTGCAGCCAGCCACCAGGGGGCGACTGAAATATTTGCGCTTCACTTTTCAGGAAAGGTTCACAGCATGGATTTTTCTCCCATCTTATTAAATGGAGACACATTTTTTCACACTGTATTTCACAGATTTACAGTAGAGATGAGTGCAGTTTCAGTGCACCACCATCTCTTATGAATCATTGTCTCATGATAAAAGATGATTAAAGCAACTGCTTCGTTATACTGACATGCATAAATGTAAAGCATTGACTTTGCTTCGAACTATTTTATTGGATAAAACCGAGACAATTGACAATGTCTAAAAATTTACTTAACTTTGTCGAACTGCAGTAAAAAATCTATTTCACATTTTCTATCACACTCAAGATCTGATAAATGGCAGTTAGTAGTCAGTAAACAATAGGGACATTAACCAATAGCACGAAATGGCTAATTAGATATAGAGATTATGGATTACGATATTCATTCATTTATTCATTTTCTTTTTGGCTTAGTCGCTTTTGAATTACAATAAAAGTAACAAATTCATAACAAACCAAAAGACTATACACTGTAAAAATTTTCATAAATTAGCAGTTTTCCATATTTCATCATTCATGTTCGGTTTTTGTTTTCATTTATTTAAGCTTTGAATTGCATTATGGGACCTTGATCTTTTATCCAAAACCTTTAGATGTTAAAAAAACTGATCTTTTTCATATAAGTGATATATTTACTGTGTTTGTATGTAAATTACGGTACAAAAATCTGTTAATAAACTGCCTGCAGATTTTCTGTCGTTTTTCAGACTCATTTCTGCAAATATAATTTTTTATTGTTCAAAGCTACTAAAATGCCAATAAAAGTCATTTTTGCAAAATTGCAATAGAGCAGAGATCAAGTTCTTATATTGCAATTTATTTCTGTAAATAACTGGGAAACTCCTGTCAATCATGAAATACTGTTAATTACCAGATATGTTTTTTACCCTGTTGAGCAGATGCACCGCACATCTATGAATGACGACCCGGACGAATAAATATCTAACCAGGACTGATTAGTATATTGAAGAGTTGTACACATTAAACAAGCAATCAACATCTTGTGTCAGATTTTCCATGGAGAAAATAAAGAAAAGACACAACCGTTGACGTTAGACAAATCATTATTCATTACAACATGGGGATTGGATCACCCGACGGTGTATTTGATACCACTGTCAGACTTTTGCCACTGATCTGTCCTCTTCTGTTTCAAGAGACTCAAGACCTGGAAGGCTGACCTACATACCGACTGACACACTGTGCTGGGACTATATTATGAGCTCTGCCAAAATGACTAATACAGTCATAACTTCTACAGACCTAACAATCTGGACCAAACACAGACATACCGGGTGTTTGACAGAGTAGTTGATTATCAGATAGTCATTTCCAAGAGGAAGCCATGACCGCATGGTGACAAAGTCTCTGTTCTTAAGTGGAGTTGGACATTTCCCTGTGACAGTAAACAAAGATGTGGTTTAAAGCATGGAAATATAACAAGACAAATTTGCATCACTAATGAAAAAATTATTAGCTATTTGCATTTAAAAATTGCTACATGTACAGTTGAAGTCAGAATTGTTAGCACCCCTGAATTATTAGCCCCCTTGTTTAATTTTTCCCCAATGTCTGTTTAACGGAGAGAAGATTTTTTCAACACATTTCTAAACATAATAGTTTTAATAACTCATTTCTAATAACTGATTTATTTTATCGCTGTCATGATGACAGTAAACAATATTTGACTATATATTTTTAATTATAAATATATTTTTCTATACAGCATAAAGTGACATTTAAAAGCTTAAGGTTAATTAGGTTAACTAGGCAGGTTAGGGTAATTAGGCAAGTTACTGTATAACGATGGTTTGTCCTGTAGACAATCGAAAAAAAAATTAGCTTAAAGGGGCTAATAATTTTGTCCCTAAAATGTTTTTTTTTTTTTTAATAAAAATTATTCTAGAAAAAAAATACAACTATTTAGCAATAAAATTATTATCAAACATACTGTGAAAAATTTCTTGCCCTGTTAAACATCCTTTAGGAAGTATTTAAAAAAGAAAAAAAAAATCAAAGGGGGGCTAATAATTCTGACTTCAACTGTACATAACAAATATGGAATTAAATACCCCCCTATTCCTCACTTCAGACGTCAATCAGTTTTAGAGACGGTAAATAAAAAAGGCAATTTATTGATGCCAAACAAGTATTAGAGACACTAAATGGCATTTGTGAGGATGAGTTCATGATATCAGGGGACAGTGACATGTATATTAGTAATAAATATAATGACATAAATATTAGTAAATTCATAGACATTGCTTTGTGAAACAGTACCAACAGTTTTATGTGCTGATTGTTTTAAAAATAAAGCGGCCCATGAGAGTTAGTGTTAAATGATTGTGCTTTTCCAAAGGATGCATTTTGATTGGCTGTCTATTTTTCATAATCTTCAATTATGTTGTTTTGAAAATGAGATCCAACACACAATCTAGTTCATCTGTGTCATTATCATTGTGGCTATTTATTTTTTATTTCTATTCTTATGGTTATAGCATTTGGTATGAAAAAGCTTTAAGTCTACGTCTTGTAATCAAAGTTCTCAAAAGACTTAAATGTAAAAAAAAAAAAAAAATATATATATATATATATATATATATATATATATATATATATGTATGTATGTATGTATGTATGTATGTATGTATGTATGTATGTATGTATGTATGTATATATATATATATATATATATATATATATATATTATAGCCCTCCTATGAAATTTTAATAGTATTCAAATATTTCCCATGAGCTGTTTAACAGAGCGAGGATATTTTCACAGTATTCCCTATCACAGTGGTTCTCAAACTGTGGTACGTGTAGAGGAATGAAATATGTCATGTACATGCTTCACACATTTCAAAATTTATCAAAAATGATGTATATAATATGCCATATTTGACATATAGCCTATATTTCTGAGGTAATCTGCCACGTTTTTTAACTGTGCAGAGTTGTAGCTACTTTAATTTTACTTTACTTTTCTGGGCCTACTACGCTACTGTATTTCAATACTGCTCATTTTGGTGGTACTTGGAGAGAGAAAAAATTTCTGAGGTGGTACTTGATGAAAAAAGTTTGAGAACCACTGCCCTATCATATAGTATTTTTTTCTAGTAGTCTTATTTTCTTGTAGATTTTAAAATATTTTTAAGGTCAGTATTTTATTCCTTAAGACTTTTTTTTTTTCTACTGGCTACAGAACTGTTCTATTGTCCAGTTACTTGACTAATTAACCTAAGCCGGTAGCACTTTCAATAACAGTACATGTATAATGATGTCTTAATATGCAAATAAAACATTTCTTCATTAAGAATTAATGATAACTTAAAGCATGCTCTTATCATGAACTAACTTCGAGTCACATGAGTTCACATGTGAATAACAGCTACCTTAATTTGTGGTTAGTACATGTTGTTAACTAATGTATTAATAACATTTAAGTTTAAGCGAAATGTAACCAACTCTAATCACGTAAATAACGGCTACCTTAATTACTTGTTAGTACATGATTGTTTGTTAATTCCTGTATTAATCACCACATAAGTTCATGAACTCATGTGCTGTTAATGTACAAGTAAATCATGACTTTACTTGGAGTGGCACATCACTATTTATCCCTAACTAGTCATGAACTCCTGTGTTTACACTGTTGAGGTTAACAAAACTCTTTTCTTTTGTTATTCACTGTAAACACACTAGAAGCACGTCCATAAGGGGTTCATAAGTAGTTAAGAAAAGGTATATGATGATGTCCCCCTCCAAGTAAAGTCATGATATGATTATGCATTAACAGCTCATAAGTTCATGAGGGTTAAATTAAGCGTGAACTTATGTGGTAAATACATGAATTAACAAACAATCATGTACTAACAAGTAATTAAGGTAGCCGTTATTTACGCATGAACTCATGTCACTTATGTTGTAGTTGGTTCATGATTATCGCGTGCATTAACTCATCATTAGAGTCCGTAATAAAGTAATGTTTAGTTTACATGTTAATACATCATTATTCATGTACTCTTATTGTAAAGTCTTACCATTAAGCCATTTTTTAAATGGTACTTTAAGCTGAATACTAGTATCTTGCAAAATAAGTAGTTAAATATTAAGTACAGTCATCATGGCAGAGACAAAAAAAAATCAGTTACTAAAAACTATTATGTGTAAAAATGTGTTAAAAAAATCTCAAAGTTAAATAGCACTTAAGAAAGATTTGATATTCAACTCCTTCTTGTTTTCCCAAAACAAATCGATTAGGTTAACGTAATTGTTTAAAATTGTGTTTTCAACTTTAGGTGGATTAACCATAAAACAATTAAGTTGTCCCAAAAGTAGCAATTGCATTGTTTGAACTCATTTTAAATAAGTAGCCTAAACAAGCAGCAAAAGTCATTATATATATATTATATATATTATATATATATGTATATTCTCACAGAATTTCTCTTGTAAGGTCATTTTAAATTATTTTTATTCTTGTCACATCATAAATTATTGCTGATACCAATGCAGAGAATATAGTAGAGTCATTCAACCATAAATACATGATTTTCAAGCTAAGCACAAATATTGGCTTAATAATGCTAAAAAGTGTACTGGTGTGCTGTTCCAGGAACAAGGTGGAAATAAAAGCTCATTTCAGACAAGGAGACAAAGACATGACTCACAGGAATAATATCCTACATCTGCATTAACTGTCAGCCTTCCAATATCGAAAGTGTCAATCATGTTGGTGTCCCATTTTTTCCGGTAGCTTGTGTCATGCAAGACATCGTAGAGAGTCTCCGCTGTCACGTCCTTGCACACGATTCTCATCTAAGAGAAAAGACAGACACAAACTCATTCAAATCAAAAGAACTTTTTCCATTACAGCTGAATTCAAACTGTGCTCAGCGGAGAAAAATCTCCTGTAGTTTAGCCGTAATGAAGTGCTGACATTCTGCTGACAAAGGCCAGCTCCCATTTATACACAGATCTATTAATTTCCTTATCTTTAAAAGCATTGCTTTCTGTGTGACTGAGCCATGTCAGGTCACAAAGAGTGAAGGTTGACACAGCAAACAGCGTGAATAATAGGATCTTCGGTGGAGTTAGAGATACAGTGCAGCTTTAAATTTAAACACGTTGGCCTACAAGCTCATGTGTCGAGTGAAACCGGCGTTTTGTTGTTTTTTTCCATGCATAAGGTAGCTACCTTATCCTTTAACTCGGCCTGTGCTGGGAGGAGGGTCAGGTAAGCATGAATACATCAAATGCAATGTGATCAGATATTGTATGGCTCCGAGTCGCCAGTAACCGTGTAACTCAATCAACTCTACCCTGGCGTCATTTAATAATTTATTCCCAACCCCCTTCAACCCCAGCTTGATCAGTCCCTCCTCATTTCCATCGGGCTGCTTGGAACACGTTTTATTTAGTCTGTATGAATGGAATGTCGTCAAAGCCTACGAAGCTCAATAATTCATGAAAAGAACGCATCAGTGCCCCGGCGAGCTGCGTGAATTATTGAAGAAGGTCTGCCATCGCCTCTCTCGTTTTTGCAGCTGTAACGGGTCTAAATAGCTTCTTCTCACCTGCCCAAAAAATGGCCCTCATGCAAACAGCTTTAAGTCATTGGCGCAGAGGTCAACAGAAGTGCTTTAATGCAAAAAGACCAAATAAAGGGCTTGACTCTGGTAAGGCAGCAGGAGAAGCTCAGGTTTCATCATCTGAGCCTGACGCTACCACGCTTTTTCCGCTCTTAATTTTTCAGCACATCTCATGGGTGCAGTCTGTCCCTGAGAGACCAGTCTTTCATCTCAGAGACTGTGGATCATGAAGCAGTCAGGCCTGGCCGGCTTTACTGTATACGCTGAGTTTCCCCTGGGCAAATGGCCCATAACCATATCTCTGTTTGTTTCTCCAAGATTTTCTCTGAAATGGTCTCCAGTCTGTGAGGAAAGCTACTGTTCAAGATCTTAGAAGATATACTGTAGTCCTGTTTTTGCACTGCTAAGGCTGATATACTGCTGTTCTACATTGTATATGTTTTCATCTTTGGTTTACATTCAGTTTCATTTTTTTAAGAGACTTTTAATGTATTTTAACAATAAAATGATGGCAGCTAAATCTTCAAGAGCCAGTACTTAAGAAATTGTAATTTGTTTTATTTATTTATTTATTTTTGTAATTTTTAATGTTGCTTTCCAAGATTTTTATTTTTTTTAAAGAACTTTGGTGCAAAGTAGTAATTATTTGACTAGTTTGAAGGCTTGATTCACTTTTAATCAATTTATCATTGTTTAAGGTTTTAAATACATGCAGCAAAGTATCATGAGTGAAATTGCAGGGGTTATCTGATTTATATGAAATCCAGGTGTTAAAGAAAGCTCATCCCATTACATTTGATATGCTCATTTTGATTCATTTCAAACCCTTCCCTCAGGATCTTTATATTGGGTGAAAAAAACAAACAGATTCAAATTTTCATTTGTCTCTCATGCTGTTGATTCCCTGAATTTAAATGTGATGAAGTTGCCGCTGTTTATTCAATTCATATTTATTTCTTTAGCACTTTTACAATGTAGATTGTGTCAAGGCTGCTTAACATAGAAGTTCTACTAAAATAGCTCTGTTTTTTGTACAATTAATGCTGTGTGTTGTCTGTCTTGTATGTGTGGCAAATAGTGTAAATCTATTACACTGCAGAACAAATCACGCCAACAGTGGACAATAAAGGTCACAGTAACAATAACAACTCATCTGAATAAAGTACACACTGAATAAAAGTCATAATGTTAAAAAAACAAACCTTTGGATAGTAGTGTATGTTTTAAGTTTTTATACGCAGTTTTTTTGTAATATTAGCATTGGTGGTGTGTACACACATTTTTTTTATACTTGTATTGTAAAACAGATGTTAATAATTCTTGAATTATAGGTAAAGCTATAAATCAGTATAGAATGGACGTGAACTTCTTTCTTAAATTTGTAGGCCAAACAAGCTTTACATCAACATTTTTAAAACCCATTGGAAAATAACAGATGATGACAGGTATAATTGTTGTTGGTATATATTCTGTTTACTGCATATTTCATATCTAATCCCTTTTTCTAATGTTACTTCTGGATGAAGTCATTGACAATATTAGTAAAATTTCACCAGTTATTTTCTATTTGCTATAAAAAATAAAGATAAAAAAGTTTTTTTTTTGTTAAGTTTCTTTCAAAAATTTACTTTGAACAGAACCAAAAGCTTTATTGTAGTTTATTGTAAAGTTTATTGTAGTCAAATCATTGTGGTCACAAATTAGTTTTTCTACACTCCCCATGTTTAATAATGTTTTTTTTTTGTAGTAAATATTATACTTATACAAATAAATAAATAGAAAAAAAGTACAAAAATGACAATTACACTTTAACTATAAGGAGAATCTTAAATCGCACAAATAAATATTTAAGAGTAACTCAATTTACAGAAAAAAATCATTATATGTGGCTTTTAGTGGTGAGTAATTGAACAGACATTGCTAAATACTAGTAACAATAAAGGTTAAAACAGCTTACTACCTCACGATGCAGAGTTCTCCAACAGTGAAAAGCTAGCTCTAGAAAGTTATAAAACATCTCAATTGGTTTACCAGAAATCGGTTATGGTTAACATTTTGATTGTAATTGCAATAAGTCGATTTATGTATATACATGAACAAACAACGAACAATACTTTAATACATTGTTTATTTGTGTTTCTTAACGTTAGTTAGACCTAATGAAAACAAATTCGTGTTAACTCACAGTGCATTGACTAATTTTAACATGCCTTAATGTGTTGAACTATGATTTTAAAATGCTGTACAAGTATTGAAATGTACTTACGGACTACAAAGAAGCAAAATATATTAAATTTAGTCGAATTTTAGACAGTAATGTCGGTGTGGACTGAAAGTAAAGAGTGTCAACAAACTAGTCGTCAGCGTCTATTGATCCGCATTGCAGCGCACTTGCCTTGAGTTTCTGCACACTTTTGCACTCCTCGTCTCGACACCAAACCGTCACTGATCCTTTATTATAACGGCTGACCCAACCATCCTGACTTTCACATTGGTCTCGAAAAGATAAGAAATCGGTGTCGTCCGGTATCTGGACTGGCATCTTGCCTCCTGGTGGATCAGTGGATCAGACAGGGCTAAACTCTCCTCTCATAAATGCCCCTGATCCGCGTGTTTTAGCGTTGATTTCCACTTGGCTTTCGGAAGCTGACGAGTTTATGAAGCTGTTTTACAGGTTAGCCTACTCTATCCGTTGCAGCAGTGGTAACTGTATTGTTGTATCTAATGTATGATGGAGCAGGTGTATTTGAGCATCCTCTTCAGTCCTGCATCAGTCCCATACTGGAGAGAGGCATTATATAAGTGGGCATCACGTTACCGAAATGTCGTTTTTCAGGTGGAGCAGTCTCTACAAGGGCTCATTAAGTCAGACTGACTGATGATCCATAGATCAGGTGTCATGTTTGTCAATTCAAAGGATTTCTTTTCCGTGACTGTTTTGTTTAACCTGTGCAGGTGTGTAGCCTGAATCCAAGGTCTACTGTTTCGAACTCTATCGACTTCCCTCAGCCTCACTCCTTCCTATCAAAAATATAAATAAATGAAATCACATTATTAAAATTAAGTAAAAAGTCTGCTTATCAGAAGGTAAGCAGTTCAGGATTTAAACATGTCCCAAATACAGGTCTTTTGTGTTCTTTGGAAAAATAATTTCTTCCAGACTCTTTAATGTTTTGTCAGAACATACTTGGAAGCCATTAACTAAAAAAAATCAAATATAAGTGAAAATATTTCTTTAAAAGCCTGTAAATGCTTTGTTGAAACATTCATATAAGTCAAAAACAAAACAAAAATCCAATATAAATAATAATATTGTTCTTTAAATGTCAAATGAACTGCAAAAGTCATTCATCTATCATAAAAACAAATAGATTTGTGTGTTGTTTGGAAGGACAAGATTAAGAATTTCAGATTTTAGAGAACTGCCTTTGTCTGAAGCTCAGAATAACAACAAAACGGCCTTTTGTGTGGGTTTAGTGGGTTTATCTTTGCTTGGGATGCTGAGTGAGCTCATCCACATATTGGCCACCCTTAGTTTAAGCAGACACAAGTGTCAGTCACCTGAAAGAGCAGCTTCAGTCTACAGGAGGTGCTAATATTATGGGCTGTCAAAACCCCATCCCTTCTTAATCTGAAAAAAGAAATAATAATAATAATAACTGTATGTCATGTTAGATAAATGCTTTCATTCATTCATTTTCTTGTCGGCTTAGTCCCTTTATTACTCCGGGGTCGCCACAGCAGAATGAACTTCCAACTTATCCAGCACGTTTTTACGCAGCGGATGCCCTTCCATCCGCAACCCATCTCTGGGAAACATCCACAAACACTCATACACTACGAACAATTTAGCCTACCCAATTCACCTGTACCGCATGTCTTTATACATTGGGGAAGACCGGAGAACCAGGAGGAAACACATGCAAACTCAGGGCGAACATGCAAACTGCCAACTGAGCCGAGGCTCGAACCAGCGACCTTCTTGCTGTGAGACTACCTACTGCGCCACTGCTTCGCCCGATAAATGCTTTAAAATTTTGTATTTTCTTAGTAATCTAACAGTGGCTTTTTTTACAGACACAGTATTTAATATTTTATTTTTATTCCATTTTATTTATTGCTTTTTATTAAATGTGTTTACAGGCTTGTTGGCATTTACTGTTTTAGGAGAACAACAAAATATTTCGGACCGTTTAAACATTCTGCTTTTAGCACCATTTTACCCTTTATGACAATATTTTGTGGATGTATAAACATAAGAGGGCACTAATGAACCCCTTAGGACAGAAATTCCCAACTACATTAAAAACACACTTAAAAACATTCACAATTAAAAGCAATGCATTTCAAAATTTACCAATCACACAGAATGTAATATGTTACATATTTTGTTCATATAGTAAGCATTATAACAAGCCAGAACAACTAAAATTAAAATATTTCTAATATTCATAACCTCTCAAAAACATTTTTTTAAAGAAATTCTATAGCATCTGGCGGAATGGTGATGGTGGCTCAATGGTTAGCACTTTTGCCTCACAGCAAGAAGGTTGCTGGGTCGAATCCCGGCTAGACCAGTTGGCGTTTCTGTATGTAGATTGCATGTTCTCCCTAAGTTTGCTTGGTTTCCTCCTGGTGCTGTGGTGTCCTCCACAGTCCAAAGACATGCATTATAGGTAAATTAAATCAATTAAATTGGCCGTGGTGTGTGTGTGTGTGTGTGTGTGTGTGTGTGTGTGTGTGTGTGTGTGTGTGTGTGTGTGTGTGTGAATGAGTGTGTATGGGTGTTTCCCAGTACTGGGTTGTTGCTGAAAGGGCATCCGCTGCATAAAACATATGCTGGAATAGTTGGCTGTTCATTCTGCTTCGGCGACCTCTAAACAGTAAGTCGTAGGAAAATAAATGAATGAATAATGTAGCATTTTATTTCGTCTGAAAGTATTCTTGAGGTGGCATACATTCTAGATTTTTCTTTTAACTATTAGAAAAAAAATAGTTAATTAAAATATTTAATCAAGACATCTAAAAATTTATAAACGCATGTAAAAAGGTAAACCAATTTACATGCACCGAGTAACATTAATGTTGTAACTTTAGTATTTACCGCACTACAGTATATGTATAAAAAACTGCACCAATAACATATATGTACACATATAACATTTAAAATCCACTTATATATATATATGTATGAAGTCAGAACAGAAATATTCGCTCCCCTTTGAATATATATACTTTTTTTATTTCCCAAATTATGTTTATCAGAGCAAGGAAATTTTCACAGCATGTCTGATAATATATATTTTTTTCTGGAGAAAGTATTTTTTGTTTTATATTGCAGTTAGAATAAAAGCAGTTTAAAAAAAAAATAACATTTTAAGGTCAAAATTATTCGCCCCTTTAAGCTATATATTTTTTGAATAGTCTACAGAACAAACTATCGTTCTACAATAACTTGCCTAATTACCCTAACCTGCCTAGTTAGCCTAATTAACCTAGTTAAGCCTTTAAATGTCACTTTAAGCTGTATAGAAGTGTCTTGAAATCATCTGGTCAAATATTATGTGTCGTCATTGTGACAAAGATAAAATAAATCAGTAATTACAAATGAGTTATAAAAACTACTATGTTTAGAAATGTTTTGAAAAATCTTCCCTCCATTAAACGGAATTGGGGGGGGGATAAAAAGTGAGGCTAATAATTCAGGGGGGTAATAATTCTTATGCACTTAAGTAATAATTCTTAAGACTTATGCACACACAGCTGCTAATGAACTAAACAAGGAACAGGTGGGCACAACCAATGATACGAAAAAATATAAAACAAATGTTTAAATTCTAAAGGAAAGACACAATAAAATGAAGAGAATATGAACAGTATAAGTGTATTTTGTTTTAAACATTATAGAGCATCTGCATTAGTGGCAAAAATACAACACAAACACAAAATTGTACACACACAAATCACCAAAGCACTCATAAGCCCTTCATCACTCTGTTTACACTGAGATCATGGCAATCCCTGCTCACCTCCACATCCACATATTTTCATACCCTGGTAATCTATGTGCTGTCCAGCTGTCCAGAAAGGTTTGCTGTGTGTTGCAGGAATGTTTCGAAATGATCTCAGTCTCCTCTATGCATCAGGGTCAGTAGATCACACACATGCTCTCCTCTTGCCTTTCTTGTAATGTGGCCTATACAGAGCTTCACTGTAGGCTGATTCATTCCAACGAGGTCAAACCAGGGCACTCAGTATGACACGTCTCACACATGTCTAAACATCACTGGCACTGAAATATATTGTGGTTTAAGTTGAAGTGGTTATGGAGTGCATTAAGTACTGAGAGCTTCAGCTGGAGTTTTTCTCTAATGAAAGTACTATGATGAACTTTTCCAGACCACTGGCAGAAACATATATTAAGGTAAATTTTGAGAGCAAAGGCCCACAAGAGCACAGTATGTTGACCTTTTCCCTTGAGGCATCAGTCCCAGTAACTTGATCCTATTTCAGCTACAAAGCTGCACAAATAGAGTCCTTCAAACATAGTTCACTAAAAACCTGTTCATTCATCCATTCATTCATTTTCCTTCTGCTTAGTCCCTTTAACATGTCATATTTACAATTTTAAAAGTATGGGCATGTCTACATTTTACATTATCTTTTGGTCTACTTCACTTTGTCAGGTATGTCTTATTTAAGTAATAAACCAGAATTAAGTTATGTTTTAACAGGGGGAGCAAACACTATTTCACACTGTTCTATGTAGTTTTGTATTTTGTTTTCCTCTTAATAATAATAAAAAAAAACTTCATTTCAAAATTGAATGATGTGTTCACTTGTGTAACATGATCTGACGGTCTTAAATGTTAACATTTGACAAACATGCAAAAAAAAAAGACGTTAGCAAGGGGCCAAACTATTTTTCACCACTATTTATACAGAAAAATCCAGAAAATGGAATCAAAATAATAATAATAATAATAATAATAATAATAATAATAATAATAATAATAAGACTGTGAAGACTGACTAAAACCATAAATGGTATTTATGATTTTCATTTAGACTGGTACAAAAATGCATATTAAATAAATGACACCAGCATTTATTTATTTTAAAGTTTAGGACAACCTCTTTATTCAAACAGACGGACATTTCCCTGTATTAAGTATTAAGGCCCATAATGAATTAGATTAAGGCCATTTTTTTTTCCAACAACTAGCATAAACAGATAATGTGTGATGATGCAGTCCAAGAAAAATGTGCACAAAAAGTACATTTTGATTAATTTCAGCAGCTTTGTTCCAGCTGATCTCCTCATCCGGAAAGATGCTCTCAAATTGTTTATAGCAGGGATTCCACACAACTTATGAGGTAACCATGGGAATTTACCATTATACACAAAGCCAGCTGTTCTATCTTAATTTTCATGCCACAGATCCAGTTAACCAGTGATTCATGTCTTCATCTGAAAGTATTTTAAATTTAGATTAGTTTTTGTCCAAATATCTGCACTGTAAAAAGTGTAATGACAAATATATATTGTTGTACAAACCACTTTTTACACCCAAATGAAGATCTTTTCTTTAATTGAAATAAATTTTTGCCCTCAGTTACCTGATATTTAAAGCGGGAAGTAATGCCAGACAGTAAGGAGACCATGGTACCCCAAGGAGAGAGGAAAAACAGGCTTAATTGTTTCCCCTTAAGTTAAGCCCTTCACCAGTCCCTGCAGCTTGATACGGAAAGCTGCAGTGGGATGTGGCACAGGCATTATTCAGTCCATTACAATCATTCTGTTGGATCAACAATGGAAAGAACAAATAATTCAAAAAGACAAAGGGCAGAAGAAAATTACTGGAGCTTCAAAGGAAATTTTGTATAGCTCACACTAAATTAGCACACAAAGGGATTAATATCAAATGTCTGAATGTGGAATGTAAAAATCACTCATTTTCTTAGTGGGCAAACATTTAAAAGGTGAATGTGTATTTTTTATTTTATTTCTTCTTTTAGTCCAAAAGAATGTGCTCTTCCCTGGCCGAAGCTGAGCTGAACATTAAACACTAGGCCCCATGGCAACCCCTGGACATGGCCATAAAAAGTAATAGAAGAAACAGACCTCGACAGGCTAATGTGCCATATTTCATTTCTGACATGTAACAACAAATGAGAAATATTGAGTCATTTGGAACGTCAGTCATTTCTGAGTTTATTTTAATGATGATATTCTTTTATTTGACACTTTTTATTGGAGTTTTTGCTACAGTTTGCCATTGGCTGAAATGGGATTAATGGCAGAGCAGAGTTTGGATACTGTAAACTTGTGGGAAGATGAAAGATTTATGTTTATTATGTATTCAAAAAGAATAGAAGAAAAACAGATTGGTATTAGGTTTGTTCAAGTCAGTTTCAAATATTTCTTGGAACCCTTGTTCAGAGTGTCAGTCCAAATTTGATTTTTTGCATGCCTGATCCGATCATCTTTGGCAAGTATGAACAGTAAAAAAAAACACATAAAATGCAGATTTTACAATTCAGTTTTAAGCTATATTGACTCAACAGGAATCTGGTCACATTAAAGAAGTGTGAATAGAAAAATATATCTCACACAAAATATGATTTTTACACATATGTTTCAAGCTTGACCTTCTTCAAATTGTCAGTCCAAATCAGATTTTTGTGCAATTGGATAAACTGATAAACAAACCCCCCAAACAAATAAACAAACAAAAAATCAGCTGAATTGCAAGTTTATTTCAAGCAACATTGAGCATGTTCAGACAATCAGCCCCAATATGCGTGCACAATCCACATGGAATCTGATCATATTTTCCAGTAGTGTAAAAGACAAAATCCCATTATATATGATTTTTTTCAAATCAAGTAGTGTTCTGAAGCTATTAATCGTGATTTATTAAATAAAATTTAAAAAATAATAAAAAATGAGAGTTTAGATCAGGGGTGCCCACACTTTTTCTTATAAAGGGCCAAAAACCAAACTTGATTGAGGCTTTCTGGGCTAGAAAGAATTGCTTTATATAAACAAAAAATAATGTTTTTACACTTTTATAATGAACGTATTACAATAAAAACAAAAACAATCTCATTTATAACCAAATGGAGTTCCACTAGTTTTTGCCCTGATTTGCGCACCGAAGTCTTCTGTAGTCGAGTGACAGTATTTACATTTTTATAAAATCAGATTCATTTACAACATCTAGTTGAAGCATTTAATTTCAGTTAGATTTTTTGTTGCTCAGCAATAAAACAAAAAAGTTTACTTCAAATTAGAAATGATGATCTCTAATAAAGGCATTCACCCCAACTTTTAGTCAACAAAATGTGCAATAGGGACCATCAAAATAAAGTGTTACTGGAAAAAAACTCTAAATGCCATCTGAAAATGACATCTAAAATGAGCATTTTTATCAGGCTTCTGTTTGTAGGTTCAGTAATTTCACTTTTACAGCAGAGGATAAGTCCTTCTTATGGTCTTTAAAGTGAATAACTCAACATAAACTAAGGAAGCTGAGAAAAATGTTAGTTGTCAATGTAAATTTTACTCAGCACTTGAAAGTTTTTGCATCTGAACTCTTCAAATATACATTTATATTTAATATCTGTGCACTGTGTATATTTATTATGCATTTATAAACACACACACACACACACACACACACACACACACACACACACACACACACACACACACACACACACACACACACACACACACACACAGATGTCATATATATATATATATGTAGAGTGTGTGTGTATTTAGTTTGTATATATCTGTTTTTATATATAAAATTTAGGAACTAAGCCGAAGGAAAATGAAGGAAATGACTAAAGAGAATTCCTTAATCATGTTTTTGTGTACAGTATTTACATATACAGTACATATTAAAAACACAGGTAAAACAGTTAAAACGTATAAAAGTACACAAGTATAAGTATCAACTTTTATTTCGGATGTGATTAATCAAAGCACAACTTTCGAGCTATATTGTGCCTGTTCAATTAGTAAGTCTGAATCCAATTTTTGTATATGTTTATCTGGAATCTACATAAACTGAACTTGTTCAGTCCAAGTTGGACTTTTGGCATGGCTAAATGTAATCCAGTCATATCTGATTCATTTGAATGATTGGCCGTCCACACTTTGTATCAAGATAATTCGGTTTTGATTTGTGTTTCCTTAGGCTGTATTTCTTTTATTCAGTATCTGCATTGATTTCATTGCACTGGTATCCATGTGCCAAAAGAAAAACAATCTCAACATGGATTACTGCTTTGCAGAAAGCTAGCATTTATTCTGTTACACATAATTCCAATCTTATCAAATTTCAATCTGATACACTTATCTACACAATCAGATTTGGACCGGCAAACATGTAAACAGCTCATTTTTTAAATTTGTTTCCCTTTGAACTTAGAGTCAATTCAAAATGAGTCTCTCTTAGGCAAACTCATAAGACATTTATAGTTTAAACAGATGATCAAAATAAAAGGTTCACTTTAAATTCTGCAAAACTGAAAAAGCACAAAGATGTTGGGTTGAACTCTTGAAGACTGAGAGCTTTCTTGCCCAAACATGTTTGCCAGTATGTATAAGATATGATATTTCACGTGGCAGATGCCTGCATTACAAGTGTTGACTGCAACATGCAGCATCCTGGATCCCTGCTGTTTTTATGCAAGGAAACAAAATCATGATTGGAAAATAACCCCATTATGTTTTAGTAGATTTTCCTGTTATTCAATAAACTTCAAAAATCAAAGTCAAAATGTAAAAGAAAGGCAGTCTGACCAGGCAAAATCCCTCCCAGTGTGCTCAGAGGGAATCACCTCTGTAAATACCAGTCAGCTAATGGAGCATCAGGCCAGAGGAGAGGATGCGAGGAGAGCTCATTAACCACTGCTGCTAGATTTATAGGGTAACCCCCAAATTGACCAAATGGCACTCCTTAAGAACTTACTGTAAAAGAAAGAAAAAAAAACCCTGTCCAAACAGTTCATCTCCTGCCTTTGACACCATGTTTATTTTAGATCATCTCTTGGACTATTGACAAAATCAGCTGTATCAACACGTAGATGAGTTTACAATAGTAGATTTGAAGATTCGAAAACAACCCACATAATTCCCACGCTAAAGGAGCTTTAAATGTGTACTTGGCTGTTTATAAATGTCCAAGAGGAATATCAAGTGTTTATTGTGCCTTAAATTTAATTGGATCCAACTGGATTTGAAACCTGACCACTTGATTTTAATGTTAAATGCTTGTTTAGAACAATAACAAATGTTGTGATAAAAGATGCCAAAGAAGAATTGAATGCACAAATAAAGTGTGTTCTGCTATTGTTAGGGAATGAGAGAAAATGTTAGTACATCATTAATAAAATGCATAATTGTAATAACTGTATGATAAAATAATGTGATAAAGTATTAATAAAAATACACCAGTCAAAAATGGCAGCATGGGCAAATAACGCGCAAAACACTTGCTGGGTTGGTTATTTTTACCCAGCAGATTGGTTTAAACATTTAACCCAGATGTTAGGTTGTATTTTCCAGAACATTGATGAAATTTACATCAGTGTTACTCATTATAATGTTTAATAAGTAGCAGGGACATGCATTTTTTGCATATTCAGTTAGAACTGGATCTCATTTCCCAAGTGAACGCAAAAGTCACCTTTTTACAAATCCAGCGGTCATAAATTACCTCATATTTACATCATATTTAGTATGAAAAGCTAAATATTATTTTTTTACAAATTTGTTTTTATTTTTTTATTATTTAATTAGTAAATATTACTTTTAAGCTACCTTTGTTCAGAGTGACTCCAGTCTAAATACGATTACTGAACAAACATTTAAATGTGCAAATAATAGGTCTCATTAAAAAGCAATTTGTTTTATGAGCAGTTTACACATTTTCACCACTGTTTTATTGATAGAACTACTGTGCACCCTCTACACACGCTTTACACTGCTACTGTAGTTTGCTTAATTAATTTTACACGCAGATTTTATGCACAGTTACATGTTGTTAAACTATATTAAATAGTTAATTATAAGCCTATAAACGTTTGAAGTGTTACAGAAGCTCTATTTGGGTAAAAATGGTTACTTTTGTGATCCAGAAGTGAAAGTGTCGTGTTGCTGAAGCTCCTCCCCTGAGCACGAGCACCGGGGTCTCGGTATTTAAGCGGGTCTCCGCTGCATGCAGCGCCGCTGTGGAGTGCGCGCGCAGGGACGCAAGATGAAGCGCTTGACTTTGTTTGCTCTGGCTATCACCTTAATCGCGACTGTTTTCGCCGCAAAATCCCCGTATCAGGCGGTTCTTCAACACAGCAGAATAAGAGGAAGAACTCAGGGGTAAGGGCTGTTCTGCAGTGATTGGTCACTTGAGTCTTTCATTATTTATTTTGAAGACTAATAACTTCTGGGTAAATTGGATTTAAACCGTGAAGACATCTAAACATGCACAGTTTCTCCAACATAAGTGGAAAATAACTTTTCTTTCAACATGCATGAAGCATTTGGTGAATGCATGGAGCATTTAAAGAAGAGTGTTTGTATTATTTTTGTTGCAGCCCCAATGTTTGTGCTATGCAGAAGATCCCAGGGTCGGATAAGAAGTACTTCACCAACTGCAAGCAATGGTATCGCCGCAAAATATGTGGCAAACCAACGTGAGTTACCACAAATTTCTTATTAGTTAATCTATCTATCTATCTATCTATCTATCTATCTATCTATCTATCTATCTATCTATCTATCTATCTATCTATCTATCTATCTATCTATCTATCTATCTATCTATCTATCTATCAAAGACAGGTAAAGTTGTCGGGATAAATAATTTTTTGCAAATATTTGTCAGCCTGTCTGAACATGATGTATATTTAATCTTGAATTCTATTGTCTTTTCAACTCGTGGAGAGAAAAACACACCTAGGGGATCACTAGAAGGAAAATATTTCATCAGTTGTCATGTGCAAGAGTTTTTCCTACATTCATGGAATTAAATTTCAAATCTAGATTTGACGACCAGGATACTTAAACGGATAAACAAACTTAAAAGGATAGTTAACCCTAAAATGAAATACACTCTATTCACGCATTCCAAACCATTGTGCATTTCTTTTTCTCTTGAACACAAAAGAAGATATTTTTGAAGAATCTTAGAAACCAGTAACCATTGACTGCCATTGTAGCAAAAACTAATACTATGGAAGTCAATGGTTACCAGTTTCCAACATTTTTCAAAATGACTTCTTTTGTGTCCAACAGAAAAACAAAACTCACTCAGGTTTGATCTACAGTAAGTGAAGGATGAGTAAATTATTAAATTTAAAATTTTGGACGAGAAATAAAGTGTTCAAACTTATATAGAATATTTTAAAATAACTCTGTTAAAGGATGAAATTATTACATTTTTAGATGCTGAAGTAAAAGGACACTTTGACATCTTTCAATCCCCACTTTTGGTTATTAAGAGCCACTTTTCTTTGAAACTCTGCTCAGGGTATTTGAGTTCAAGTTGACAGTAGATATAGAAGAGCGTTGTGTAGTAATGGTTTCCATATGTCTCTTGATAATTGGCTTCAGTCTTTGTGGGGTTAAATTGCCTAACATCCTGAAGAGTCATTAATGTGAAGCTAACAAATATCAGTGCTTTTCTGTCTGAAAGCTCTTCAGTGCACTGAGACCTGGATCACAATTACAACTTGTAGCAACACCGTTTGACTGACATCTACTTAATGTCCCCATGGGGTGAAAAGGTGTTATTGGTTACATGAACATTCCAGAGACAGATATTTTAGACTTCAGGGGGAACTGCATTTTGGCGTCTACGATACAGGATTAAAACTTTCTGGTAAAAGTATCAATAAAAAAGGGTGTAATTTGTCATTTTGCTACCATATATTTTTTAATGAATGCAAGTATGTTGGAATATGGAATGAAGTCTGGTATGTTTATACGTGTATTGCAGACATTATGTAACAGATTCGTGTTGCTTACATAAGGTGTGCATACTAAGTAGGTAAACCAAAAAGTTTTGGGGGTGGTTTAGTGTGTAGAAGTGTTTTTCAATATTTGCATGTCCTGGCTTAAGATAATAATTGCTGAAATGGTCAAACGTTTGGGGTCAGTATAATTTGTAAATGTATTATGCTAAACAGGAGTACATTTGTTTGGTCAAAAATATCATACATGTACATATAATTAAAAATATAAAATGACTGTTTTCTATTATACTGTATTTAAAAACAAAATTAAACTTAGGCCTTAATGCTCCAGTCGTCAGTGTCACATGATCCTTCTGAAATCGTTAGGATGCTGATGGAATGCTCAAGAAACCATTACTGTTAATATAAATTATATAAACTTTTGTTTTCAGGATTCTGAACAGCATTCATTTCCAATAGTAAGTTTATAAATATCTTTTCTCATTTTCATCCTTGTTAATAAAAGCATTTTTTAAATTATTATTCTGGCCCCAAAACTATGCACATTAAATCTTTAAAAGTGTGGGAGAGAGTGTGGGGATTTTTTTTCCTATTTTGTAAAATTTAGGTCATTTAGCAATACGTATGTGACCCAACTTTGGTTGGCAGTAATACTGTAAAATGTACGAGTGCATGATAAATTAATATTAACAAATGCGCTGTAAAACTATAGCACAGTTGTGATTGTTAATTTACAGTGTGCTTGTATATTGTACAGTATTACGAGTGTACTCACACTAGATACAGTTGCCTTGAAGCATGACAAAGCGAGTTTGTCCTCCCCTTCCCTGAAGGCCTGCACTCACATTGCATGTTGTGACTATTCATTTTAACAGCAAGAGAAGCTCTCTCACTCAGCACGGGAGATAGCTTTAGTTATATCGTTTTGTGTTATTTTAAGTCATATAGGATGCAGTGACACGCAGTCAAATATTTTGCCAAAGCAATCTGAGCTCATAAATTATCATAAAGTCCTTGTGCTGCACGCATCAGGAGGTTTGCTGAAGGTGCTGCTGATGTGTAGTGGGGGATTTGCATCTTAAATAAACTACGACATATTGCGTTCACTGAAAAGTAAGAATGATTCATGAATCCATATAAAACATTAACTTAAAAGTAATGTCGCATCTTCAGTTTCGGGCTCAGCCACATTTTGCACTCACACTGTAAACGTACTGTGCCAATGCCCAACCGAACTGCACTCTGACACACCTCTTCCCACCAAGTCAGGGCTTCAGTTAGAAGTTAGCACTCAAGCTACAAACGTACTGTGCCAAAGCAAAACCGAACCGTGATCTGGCACACTTCTTCCAACTGGGTCAAGGCTTCAGTTAATGAAGAGTTAGCACCAAAGCCCAAACGAGCTGGCCAATTTGAACTGCACACCGGCCTGATTTAGAGCACTCACACTTGTCAAACAGACCGCGAAATTGCATCCTTACTGGCAACCAAACTTTCATGTAATACTGTAAATTTTACAGCAATTTTTACAGTGCAGTCATATGGGTCGGTTTATTGAAATTGGCATTTATACATCACCTGAAAGTTGAAAAAAAGCTTACCATCAGTCTTTAAAAGAAAAATATTTGACTGGAATACAACTATTGGAAGAAAGAGATTAGTTAACTTTACTTTAACAAATGAAAATACTGAGAAAAACATCTGTAAAGTATGTTCATCACATTGCATGTTATTAATCAAAATTTGTTAAAATGTGCTGTAAAAAGTGATTAGTTAACTTTACTTAAAAGGTGAGTAAATCTGTTGCCTTAAAAATCATTAAATAAATGAACTTGCATAATTATAAAAAAAATAAGTTAGGTCAACTTAACCTTTCCAAGATACAACAAATTTACCTACTATTTAAGTAAAGTCCATATGTCGCTTTAAAAGGGTGGTCCAGAGTGTATTTTAAAGTCTTGGTTGTGTTTATAAGATGCAAAGCAATCACAAAGTGTGCTCATCCTTCGTTTGTAAAAAAAAATCACAAAATTTTTTTCATAAATTTCACTTTGATTATCCTAGTTCATCCTATCATCCTAGTTGCTCTGAAAGGCCAGCCCTCAAGAGGCTCTGATTGGTCAGCTAACATAATGTGCTGTGATTCATGGATCGGCTTCAAGTCACCAGGAAAAGCGTCACACCCCTACAAGCATGTGCTTTGTGCATGTGCTGTGTAAATACTGACATTCAGAATAGCTATTAGCCGTAACAGTTTGTGCCTGAATCAGACAGAAAATGACACGGAGGACACAGCTGAACCTCATGCCTGCTCTCTAAAATAAAATCTGACAAGTGTCTTTCACATGATCAGAATAAGTGTCATGATCGAAATAAGCATGTATACGTAATATGAAACATTCACTTTTGTTTTGCGAGTTTGTTATTTGTGATGTAGAATGCAGGGAACGCATCTGCATAGAAAGACACTGGAGTGCTGCTGAAGATTGTGGCTGTTTACAGCGCTTTGTTGGATAAAAATGAATTTTGTGGCTAAATTGGTAACAGTGCCAAACAGCATTTCCCATTGTTTACATCCTTGTTTACATCCTTGCTACAACATAATGTTAGCGCTAGAAACTGTGTATATAATAGATATATTTTAACAAATAAAAATACTTACAGTTTGTGGCCCACAATCCACAGCTTCATCTATTATGGTAGGAGCTGCTCCTTCATTGAGGAGTTTTTAACCAAATCAAAACTAGCACTGAATTGGGAGAGATTCTGGAAGCTCTCCTTTGTCAAATGCTAACTATAGATATTTATAATTCTCTGGAGCATAATTAAAATTATATTGTAAGCACTTCTCTCTTTGTGTTGTGTCCTGTGGAAGCCCAAACACTGAAACAGAAGCAGCTTTGTGTAATTCGCAGTGTTTGGACTGCATTTTAGCTTTCTCAGCTATAACATTACAGCACCTTCTGCCCCGCCCATTTGATACGCAGAGTGTATGCGCATCACCTGAAGTGTTTGTGATCTCAAAGCCCAGATGTATTTTTTGCAGTCCCCAAACTTTGCCCGCTGTAGGCTTTGCTAAGCCAATTCTGTAAAAGCCAAAGTCTCCCTTTGCAGTGAACTTTGAGCGTCTTACATTTAGAGATATTGTTTATGTTCACACAGCTACATTACACATCAACTAAAATTTATAATATGAAATCGTAGTGGACCACCCCTTTACAGCAATAGGTTTACTCATGTTTTTCAAAGTAATGCAACTAATCACTTTTTACAGTGTGGCAAAAATATACCCGTGCAATATAAGACATAAGACCACATATTATTCATTTATTTTTTGTCATTGTTCTTTTCCTGCATTACTTCTTCATTTGAATATTTAAAAGCTATCTGGCAACTCATATCAGGAACAAGACTTAAAAGTGTACTCGAAATCTTGAGACAGAGGAGAACTTGTTTTATTCATCTTCCCTTTTTCAGACAGAGTTTTCTTTCATAGCGATTCTCAAGAAAACAAGGAGGAAGTCAGATTTGCTGTGGGTGCTTGGAAGCTTTTAGGAAATGGCTTCAGCTGGGAGTCCTGTAGAAGGTCTTACATCCCTAAACACACACAAATCATTGACCTGGTCTGAAGGAGTTTTCCATCCGTCTCACGGCTGTGTGAGAAAAAAAGTTGAGCTTTGCAATGAAAGGACGTACCTTACTCAGGAAAGCTCGAGGTTGGGTGCTTTGACACCGAAGTTCACTTGATTTACAGAGTTTTTTGGGGTTTTGAAATTTGGGGTCAGAGGAATTTTGAGGGAACAACTGCGCTCTTTGTAGGGCTGGTTCATAAAGGTCAGTGCTGTGAAACAGGACGTTTCCAGGTCATTTAAGGAGAGACCAATAACTTTTTCACCAATTACTCCCTCTAGAGCTCTGCTTTTTATAGACACCTGGAACCTTATTTTAAATAATATTTGTGACCCTGGACAACAAAACCTTAAATTGCACAGATATATTTGTGAGAATAGCCATCAATGCGTTACATGAGTCAAAATTAAAGGAAGTAAAGATCATCTTCAGTGAAGACATTTTGTACATTTCCTACTGTAAATTTATCAAAACTTCATTAAAATTTAAATATTAAAACTTGATTTTTAGTTTTTGATAAAATCATTACAACTTGAAACTTGAACATTTTCATAACTATTTGGACAACTTTAAAGGCAGCTTTCTCAATATTTAGATTTTTATAACCCTCAGATTACAGATTTTCAAATAAATGTATCTAGTTGTAACTGATTTTGTAGTCCAATGTTATATGTTGGATTAAATACATCTATAAAATGTAATAACTTGGAAATTCATAGTTAAACACATTTTTGGAGATTTTTTTCCTGAAAACCAGATGCAAAAACTAAATATACAAAACAGTTGTCATTTAGAGCAGTGTTTCTCAGCCACATTCCTGGAGGACCACCAGCTCTGCACATTTCCTATGTCTCCTAAATCAAACACACCTGATTTAGAACAGCAGCTCATTAGCAGAGACTGAAGTCTTTGTAATGGGTGTGATAGACAAAGGAAACATCCAAAGCAGTGCTGGTGGTCCTCCAGGAACATGGTTGAGAATCACTTATTTAGAGCATAAAATGATAATTGATGGAATTAATTCATACATATTTACTTTAAGATTCAAAATGATTAACTTCAGAAGAGTTATGAAAGCAATATATATATAAATATTTGTTATAATAACCATGATTTTTCCACGATTGTCATTCTGAAAAGAGCCTAGATTAAATGACATTACTTGTATTTGAAATTTGGAATAAATCTTATTAGACATTTATAGATAAACACAAATATTACAACAATTTATACCTGATTAATCCAGCACATTTAGAGAACTGAGAAGTTTCAAGTGGTTTATAAAATTTTCCATAACTGTATAATGGTATTTAAAGCAAACCGTCAAAATATCAGACTTTATTTCATGTTACTGGTATTTATACTTCAAAATTTGATAAAAATGTATGATAAAGAGATACTTTTGCCTTTAAAAATAAGTAAAATATAGATTGTCAATATCTACTTTTTTCCTCCTTTTGAAAAGACATCATCATACTTTCATTAATGTTATCATTGGATGTGAGCATTTTTGGAAAAGTGATGAATCAGCTAAAACATCCATACTCTAAATATGGATATTTTTTTCAACATAGCGTAATACAACTTTCACAATTTTTCTAGGAACCTCTTACCACACCACTTGAAAGTGCACAATACGTAAGTTAGACAGCCTAACTGTTTATTTTGTCAGAAATCCATGGCTACCATCTTTGCTTATGTTGGCAGAAGACAAACAGGAGTTGAGTTACCATCTGTTTTGATAATTAGTTCAATGTGCTTCCCTCATCCGTGTGTTTTACAAGTCTACCCCATGCCTGAATGTCAGGATTGTTGTCTGTGTTTAGATTTGCCTTTTAGTTTTCCACTCCATCATACTCTAAGATGCTTTGGGTTACTTAAGCCAGTATGCAAACAATTTGTTGGAATTGGTATGTGAGCAAGCTTTTAACAAATATCTATCAGATTCCTCTTTAAATGCACATACCATGGAAAATATCAAGTGTTCTGGATGTTCTTTACCACATTACCTTCCGTTAAAGAACTGCAAGTCAAAGAGATAATTATGGCAAGAAAAGGAATTATGGTAAAAAATATATATATATATATTATGAAAATCTGAAAAAGAAATATTTTTAGAACTTCTATTTTAATATATTATAAAACTTTATTTAATTCTGCAATGGAAAAGTTAGATTTTTAGCATGTCATTACAGTCATTACCCCAGTCCTCAGTGTCACATTGTCACAATCCGCTGGTATATGGACCACAAGTTCCAGTTGTGCACCATGCACACTCACACCGGTTCCTAATCCTGACTAATTGCAAACTCACAAATATTGTCAAAAAATTATTACAGGGACTTTAAATAAAGCACACACATATTTAATATATGTGCACTGTGTATATTTATTATACATTTATAAACACACACACACACACACACACACACATCTGGGCTGAGTCTTGTTATACTGCTTCTGTGAACATTACGACACGTTTCCCATGCCTTGCTTTGCTGTGTTTTTGACTCTCGCCTTGTTTGTTTGTTTGCGTTGTATGCTCCCTGCCTTTTGACCATTCACCTGTGTATTGACCAAGGCTCTGGATTCCCTGTATACATCTGTTTGCTCCTGTGTTGACTGGAACTTGTAGTCCATATACCAGCAGATTTGTAGTCTTTATAATAATTATAATATTCTGATTTATATATTTATTTATTTATATTTATATTTTTTAATTTTGCAATTAAAACTTAATTTTACAATTTATTGTTTTCTTCCAGTACATGACAAAATAATACAAACACAGTTTTAAAAAAGTAGGCCTGTTGCATGTAAATCCAGAATATATACATCAGCTAAAATTACGAAAATTACAATATTAGGACGATACGAAATCAAGTAAATAATAATAATAATAATAATAATAAATCAATTTAGAAAACAACAACAACTAATAATGAAAAGGTAATATTATTGTGTTATGAAAAGAAATAATCACATAATACCAAAAGTCTTTCCGAAACTGGGATATGCACAGGAACTCAACCCCTGTTTTGTCCTTATTATGTAATCTGTAAAGCAAACATTCATATGAAGCTGTCTTAGTCATAATATTGACCCTTTTTCAGAGTTTTAAAATGACTCTAGCCATCACAGAAACATGATCACTGTGAACTTTGCCTTTGTAATATTTGGCATCTGCTTCCTATCTCCCAATAAGCATAACCTTGATGACACTGGAGTTCCAAGCCATTAGCTCCAAAAATGTAGTTTAGTGCCAAAATAGGCTGAACAAATGAACACAGATACAGAGTCACTCAAATAAAAATGCCTCTCTTTTGAACATTTCCAACAAACATCATTATTTGTCAAACCCATTGTATTGGGTTGAACAGGTGTAAATTAAAACATGTGCATAAATTGTTCTCCAGCTTCTCTATTTACCTGCATTTAACAGAAAAGTTTTTCATTCTTCAACCCGACTGCATTCCTAATGTTCTTTTCCCATATTGTCTTTAAGTTTATTCTTGTAAACTAACTTAAATTCATTTGTCTGTAAATGTATGGAGCTAATAATATGCCAAAACAATCTGAATTTGAATTGTGTTAATTTCAATTATTGACAGGCGGTTCATTCCGCTGTGGCGACCCTGGATTAATAAAGGGACTAGGCCGACAAGAAAATGAATGAATGAATGAATTATTGACAATTGTAATTTAATAAATCTGAATATTTATGTGCCATTGAAAATTGTTTTAAATTTGAATTCCTTAATTTGAATTTCATAACTTGAATATTGGAACATCTGAAATTTAAGACAACTGAATCGTCTACTCTTCCCTGATGATCACCCTTGACCTACATTCTGCTGAATATGAGAATTTCACAATCTGAATTTCTTGTTTTCTATTTCACAATATCATGTTCTAAATTTCTTCATCTTGAAAACTTTAAATTTTATTTTTACCCAAAATCTGCAGTCTGTGGATTCAGAACACAAAAAAAATCTAAAAAAATAAGTTTTGAAAATACGTTTATAAAAAAAAATCAGCCTTAAAAATTTCAGTTGTCTTTAATTTCAGATGTTCAATATTAAAATTCAAAACAATTTTAACGGGATACAAAAATTCAGATTTATTAAATTGAAATTAACACAATTGAAATTTAGATTGTTTTGGCATATTATTGGCTCCATATAAATGAACATTTTGGGATAAATTAACTTCTTTAATGTTCTTCACTGAAATATCTCAATGAACTGTAAGTCAATAAGCACAGACAAGCAATAGATAAAATGGATCTTTGATTATTATTTAGTTCCATACACCAACCTTTGTCATTTTTACTTTCGTTCTTCCTCTGTAAATTCACCCTCAGTCTCCTAAATTTGTGTTATTTAGTTGTCAGTTGGTAAAAAAGCACGTACCACATTAGTAAGCGGTCATAGCATTTTTCTTAAAAGGAAGAATGTCTAAGCGAAAGCTATATGTGTCAATCTTCAGCATCCAAATTACTGTACCTTTGCGTGGTGGTTCCTAGGAATTTCCCATTGTTTTTATTGGCAGGACTTCTGGCCGTAGAGTCTCCTCTCAGGAGTTTCCCTGGCCCATACTGTGCCTCTGGATTCTTCTGCTACCAAAGGAAATTAGATTTTATGACCCTCTAAGACCAACTCTTGCACAGACCTTATTTATTATGGAAATACCTGGCAAGAAATGAAATGAAGAAGCACAGTATATCTTAAGCCGTGCAGTTTAAAACACTTTGAGGAGTGTGTCGGTTGTCTCCACTCCAGTATTCACAGCAATAAAGAGAGAAATATAGACCTGATTTCCTATAAAAGAACTCCCATTTCCGATGGGATCTGTTGAGACTCTTTTGTTAAAACCAACAAAGCTGTGCTGTTTTTGACTGTGTTTTTGAAATTCTCTTTGTAGGGTGATCAGTTATGAGTGCTGCCCTGGATATGAGAAGGTGATTGGAGAAAAAGGCTGTCCGGCTGGTATGTAACTATTTAATTTCATTTCATTTTCCTTCAGCTTAGTCCCTTTATTCATCAGAGGCCACCACAGCGGAATGAACCACCAACCTATTCTGCATATATTTTACCGAGCGAATACCCTTCCGGCTACAACTCAGTAGTGGGAAACTCCTATACTCTCACATACACACACATACGCCACGGCCAGTTTAGTTTATTCAGTTCCCCTATAGAGCATGTGTTTGAACTGTGGGGGAAACCAGAGCACACCCAAGCCATCACGAGGAGAACATGCAAACTCCAAATAGAAATACCAACTGACCCAGCCGGGAACCAGCGACCTTCTTGCTGTGAGGTGACAGTGCTAACCACTGAGCCATCGTGTTTCCCGTATGTAATTGTAATAGAAATAGCATTTCTAATGTGTGGGCTGCCTGAGCGTTCTGGGAGGTGATCAGATTGCTAAATCAGTATAAACTTTAATGAATCAGATATATAATGCTGACTTTAAAGGGATGGTTCACACAGAAAGCTAAATTTGATCATAATTAAATCGCCCTCAAGTTACATTTAGTCATTCAGCAAATGCTTTTGTCCAAATCAACTTACAATTGAAGAGGCATTTAACGATTTAACAAGAGACACTACAAACAAGAAATGCTAATTATACAAAGGAATTGTTAGTACTCAGAGAATTAAGTGTTAGAATAAGGAAGAGGAGTGTTTTTTTAAGAGAGAAAGGTGTTTGCTACTGGTGGTTTGTCAAGTCCACTCACCAGATCGAAGCACACTTCATAAATGCAAACATTTTTTGTTAGTTGTTTTGAGATATGGACTGATTGTTAGAAAGTATCTGGTGCAAATGTGAAATGTGAAAGTAAAAGATAAAAGAGTGTGTTTTCTTAAGGTGGTTTGTCAAGCCCACTCACCTGTGTGAGGCACACTCAAAATTGCATGATGTTGTTTAAGTTGTTCCAAACCTGTATTAGATTCTCTATTTTGTTTGTTTGTTTGTTTTGCTTTTGACACAAAAGAGGATTTTTTTATGAATTTTGGCAATCAGACAGCTGAAGGCCTCCACTGTTGAAAAGGTAAAAATAAGTCAGCTACCTTCTACTGTCTGGTTATCAATATTTGTCAGGATATCTTCTTTTGTGTTCACAAAACAATGAAACAGTCGGCGCCAATGGTGTAGCGGTTAGTGTGTTGACACGTGCACTCTAGTGCTCAAGGCGACCCCCCATCTTGAGGCCCTATGCCGATCCTTCCCTTCTCTCTGCTCCCAACAGTTTCCTGTCAATCCTCTCTACTGTCCTATCCATTAAAAAGTGTTAACCCTGAAAATAATAATAATAAAAAAAGGCAAATTAAATAATTAGTTTCAGGGTGAGTAAATGGATTAAGTTGAAAGCTAGAAACTTTAAGATTCATCGTCTGGTGTCTGTTTTTCAATATGTTATAGTGGAAATGATCGTTTAGAAAATGTAGGATTGTTGTTGGAGACAATTTAGGTGAAAAGTAAAAAGATTTGCATTTGGGTTGCGGCTGGAAGGGCATCCTCTGCGTAGAACATATGCTGGATAAGTTGGCGGTTCATTCCGCAATGGTGACCCCTGATTTATAATGAGACTAAACCGAAAAAAAAAGAATAAAAGGAAAAAAGTTTTTCAGTTTTAAACTGCTTTTCAGTCCAACCTTTAAATAAGTGAATGTGTGCAAAATAGTATTTTCAGTGATTTTTCTGTGTACTTTTACCTTTTAAAAATGGCCTCTCTCAAATATAGACCATAATACTGCATGCAATACTGCCTACAAGTCAACAATCGAAATACATTTTTTGGGGTTAATCCATCTAACGAGCAGTTTAATGGCAAAATAAACTGACAAATATCGTGTTATAACATGTAATCAAGTCAAGCCAAGTCAAGTCAAGCTTTATTGTCATTCCGCTATGTGTGTGGACATACAGAGAAATGATATGTTGAGTCTTGCAGGACAACAATGCTACATAATTTAATCATAAAAATAAACATAACTAACTTATACTATTAAATTCTTAACTATACACATAAAGCTGTGGTCACACTAGAGTTTGAGTATGTGAAATTCTGTCAAACGGAGCTGCGAAACGGGGCCGAATTAAACAAGATGATTAGACATTTAAAAAAGCGAGCGATTGGTCCGTATTTTAATATTTCTGTTCAGAGAGGTCTCACGTAGTCAAAAGGTGCGATTTCGCACGTCAGAGTTCACCAAGCTTGAACTTTGCAATGCAGCGAACTGCAAAACGTGTCGCATGAGCTTGCATTTCCGGTCTGACGCATTTGCGTGCGTATGAATGGAAGTCTGTGGGCAGAAAAGTCCAGTGTGATCGCAGCTTAAGAGAGGCAAGACAAGTACCTCTACATGAGACTGAACAATGTTTAAGGTCTAATATTGTGCAAGAGTTATTTAAGGATGAAGCAAGGTTTTATCCTTAGATGTGGCAATAATAATGTATAATTGATTCATGTCCACTTGGAATTATTATTGAATAACGCATGCCAAGGTGTAAAGTACACTCCGCCTTGCAACTATATCACCACCTTGAATGTGCATTATTTTCTGCTATTTCACTGGCTTGTCATGAGTGTTGTGCACTCTCTTTGTTTATGTATGAACACATTGGTGGTGTTAGTGTTTTTGAGGGGGGAGGTATCAGTAAGAGCACTGGGTCAAGAGGGAGCTCAGTTTCTTAGAACAGCCCTGAACAGTAAAATCTTGATTTCTTTTTCAAAGCTCTACCTCTGGTGAACATCTATAAAACCCTGAGTGTGGTTGAAGCCACCACAACTAAGATGTACTCCGAGAGAGCGAAATTGCAGGAGGAGATCGAAGGACCCGGCAGCTTCACATTCTTTGCTCCCAGCAATGAGGCTTGGGCTGCACTTCCCACTGTGAGTTCCCAATGCGTCTCCATAGATCATGTAGAACAAATAAAGAGTTTCCAGTCATTTTCAGGCTCCGAGTTCCCAGAATAACATAATATATTGTCTACCAAACTGTAAAATATGAAGATAAGCTCAGTGTTGTTCAAAATGTGCTGTAGGAAATTCTGGATGCCCTGGTGAGCAACGTCAACATTGAGCTCCTGAACGCGCTGCACTACCACATGATCAACAAACGCTTGACTTCTGAAGATCTTAAGCACGGCTCTTCGTTCTCCTCCATGTATCAAGACTTTGATGTTCATATCCACCATTATTCTAACGGAGTAAGTCAGATTTGGTTGACTGCTTGAACCTACAAGAGAAGAAAGTCTTGTTTAGACTGGCTTACTGGAAATATTCTGTTTACTTTATCTGTAGTTATTTAATGCCGTTATGAATTGTGTCAACTAGCATTTACACCAGATGATTTGTTTGAAGTTGTGTGTACGTTACCAATGATATGTGTGGTTGCAGATCGTGACGGTGAACTGCGCAAGGCTTGTGAAGACAGATCAGCATGCCACCAATGGAATTGTGCATGTTGTGGACAGAGTCATCACTGCCATTACAAACGATGTCAACTCTATTATTGACACTGATGATGACCTGGACACTCTGCGGGTAGATTAAAGGAATTTACTGCTTCTTTTTTTTTTATGTGTTATATAGTATGACTGATACATTCAGTGACCTTTTCATTCAGACTGCAGTTGCCGCCGCTGGTCTCACTACCTTGTTGGAGAACCAGGGTTCTTATACCATCTTTGCACCAACGAATGAAGCCTTTGAGAAGATTCCTCCAGATACACTGACCAGAATTTTGGGAGACCCTGTTGCTCTTAAAGGTACATTTGGTCTTCATCAGCATGAAATTTTTACATTTTACTTCTAGAATTTTACTAATTTCTGAGGGAAATGAAATAATAATTTTTAAAAAATGCTGAGTGGGGTATAATTATATCCATTTGGAGTTAACTGAATTGTAAAAGGAGTTGTTAAGTGCATAATAAATAGAACAAGGTGTTGAAGGATGCTAAACAGTATGAGGGGTTGTAATAATGTCAGCCAAGAAGAAAAATCCATCCAGAATCCATGTAAACTGGTATGGTTTGCAAAATTCACTTAGCAGTGTTCAGGAATATGCAAAAAGATTAGGGAAAGTCTGATTTTATGTTGGGTTTTACACAGTTAACATTTAGATGCTGCAACATTTTTTGTCCAAGCCAGTTGTTATATTTTGTCTTTTTCCAGTAGCACAGCTGTGCTGCTGTTGATATGTGTTGTCATATGGCCATCTTTTTTTCTCAATCCCCTTTAGATCTGCTGAATTTCCACATTCTGAAGAACTTACACTGCTCTGAGTCCATCGTGGCTGGAACTCCTCTGGAGACCCTGCAGGGCACCATGCTGGAAGTCGGCTGTGATGGTGAAGATTTGACCATCAACGGCAAAGCTGTCGTCACGCAGAAAGATAAGCTTGGAACCAATGGAGTTGTTCACTACATTAATGAGCTTCTCATTCCTGACTCGGGTATGTCAGTTATTAAATTACATTTTTAAATTACATTTTCCGCATCACTGAAGTGGTTCTAAATTTTTATTAAATTCTTTTATTTTCTTTCTATGGAAGTCTTAAGATGTTTTTTTTAAACCCACTTCTGTCTTCAACAAAAGAAATAAATTTAAACAGGTTTAGAACACAAGTGGAGGATGAGTAATGTTGGTGTCTATCTCTTTAACCACCTTAGAGATGCCCTTTAAAGTAGTTCACTCAAAAATGAAAATTACACCATAATTTACTCACCCTCAAGCCATACCAGGTGTATGTAAATGACTTTCTTCTGTCAGATGAACACAGTCGGAGTTGTTAAATGTTACATTTTATTCAGGCTCTTCTATCCTGTACATAGTGTTTGGTAGTGGCCACTTTTTGAAGCTTTCAAAAGTGCATAAACCCATTGTAAAACTAACCAATATGCCACCATGGGGTTAATACTTGTGTTTTGAAGGAGGTCTATGATTCTTTGTAACAAAAATATGTTTAATTTATGAACTGAACTTCTGGTAGCTGCCGAATGCATGTTTTACATACTTCATGGCTGATATCTGACTCAATGTATGAGGCATAAAATAAGAGACATTTTTAATGGAAGAGTAAGAGTAATATACTGTATAACAATCTAGAGTAATGCTAAGCAAACTGGTTTTCTTGCTTGTTGTTGTCTTCTGTGATGTGTTTCTACAAGGCAAAGTCATGCTCAAATCCTATAGATGCCATTCATACAATTTGCAATTGCCACCACCAGATTTAAACGAAGTTTGATTTTTGAAGGCTATTTTAGAATCAATGTCATACTATTTTTTTCACTAATTAACAATTCATTTTCTTTAACTTGAAGGTACTTGTTTGAATTTACTCTTGAACCACGTTGTATTCAGCCCTTTCTTGTTTGTTTGTTTTTAGCCAAAACCCTGCTTGAGCTTGCAGAGGGATCTGTTGTTACTACAGCTGCAAAGCTTTTTAAAGATGCTGGTCTTAATGATCACCTGGTCGGCTCTGAGTCTGTGACCTTATTAGCCCCCCTCAACGAGGCTTTTAAAGGTTGGATCACTCAATGTTCTTTAATCTAGCAGTTGAGCCTTACGAAACTCTGTATTAACTCTAATTGTATCATTTGTGTGCAGACAAGAGCTTTGCTATGACTCCTGACATGAAAAAACTGCTGAGAAACCACATTCTCAAGGAGAAGTTTTCCTCCAAGAGCCTTTATCATGGGCAGGAGTTGGAGACCCTTGGTGGACTGAAACTTAGAGTGTTTGTGTTCAGAAATGTAAGTGTGGGAATATGCGGATTGGATGGATTTAAAAGAAACCCAAATTGCTGCTATTTTTAAATGAAACATTGATATGTATTGATGCTGATAAAAATGTCCAGTAGAACAGTCATTTTGATGACAGTGGTTAAGGAAATAAATCCCTCTTGACCAGCGCTTGAATTATAACCCAGTTACCAATCCATCAAACACACATAAGAGCCTTTTTTTCCAGCCATGTTGTAGCTGGCAGTGAGGATGGTATAGTTCTGTCTGCACGCTCACATTTCTGCTTTGTAATGGATTTCACAGACCACCGGAAACCTCTCCTTTGGATCACCTTAACGTTTTCCACAGCTCACTTCATGCATCATTATCGTCTTGTGAGAAAAAGAGAGCTTTGAAACGAAAGCGCTGATCTGTATAACCACTAACCTTAACCGTTTCACTTGCTTGGATGTTGCAGAACCTGTGCATTGAGAACGCCTGCATTGCCGCCCATGACAAAAACGGCCGCTATGCAAATATGTTCCTCGTTGATAGTATCCTGACGCCCCCCCAGGGAACTGTCATGGATGTCCTGAAAGCAGATAATCGTTTCAGGTAAGATGATCCGCATATTTAAACTAAACGTCTTACAGTGAAGTCTTAAAGTGCCCTGCTCTGCTTTTTTTTCAGTCATGTAGTGTGTAGAAAGTCCTACAATCCTAGCTCTTCCATCCTGTATAATAGCGTTTGGTAGTGGCCATATTTTAAGCTTTCAAAAGTGCATAAACCCATTGTAAAACTAACCCATTTGCAACCATAGTGTTAATACATGTCTTATGTAGCAGATCGATGCAATTTTGTGACACAAATGTTTTTAATTTATGAGCCCAAGTCAGCTGCCGAATCCACGGTGGTTAACAAATGTCTTGGCTGATATCTGACTCAACATATGAGGCAAAAAATAAGACTAAATGATTTCAACTGTAGAGAGTCCTACATAAAATTGTTTGTTTGCGCAAGCAGCTTGTCACAACCTGGTTACATTTTAAAGTTAAGCATCTTTTTAGCTGGTGAAAAAATAGCGACAGCGTTGTGCTGTGTGTGTGTGCCGTCTTGAAAGTTTGTATGACAGACATTTGCAGTCAAAAAGCTGAATCAGTGAAATGCACATTGTGGAGTCTTTACATCCTCCTTCCTACTATATGTTTTCTATTTCCAATTCAGATTTATATTCACATTTAGTAGAGGCTTTGTAACATGATGAAGCTGCACCAATCATGAAATAAATCATGATAGGGGCATTATTTTAGCAAATGCTCATGTGGGTCATATTTCAACAAGATATGCGCATACCCAGTGTTCATAAATGTGTTTCATATTATGTGTTTTATGTTGTATAGTGTTAACAGAAGATGTTTTCTGAAACACATTAAAGAAGTAATGCGGCTGTACATTTTATAGACCAGTTGAAATGCAAAAGTCATGAATTTAAGTCATGACAGGAGCATTATTTTAGTAAATACTCCTGTGGGTCGTTTTTCAATAAAGTGGCAAACAACCTACACTGTCATGTATCCTAGGGTACTGGTTGAGTGTGTAATGTATCTGTTTGTAAATGCAAAAATTTGTTTTAAAGATTGATAAGGTCTCCCAAGGTTAAAACGTACCAGTTTGCCTTTTGTTGAGGTTCGTTTGGACAGGTGTGAAAGCGACTCGAGAGTGCACACCAAACTTGGACCAAACTAGTGTACCGTGATTTTCCCAAAGAGGTTGTCTTCAAACAAACCCTGGAGGGGTTAGTTTGTTGTGAGAATGTTGTGAGAATTTCACGCTTTACCACTTATGGCAGCTCACCAACAAACGTGAAGTTGTGAGGAGGTCCATAATGCCTGCCGAATTTTCTTCTGCTTTTGTTACTTCCATGAGATTCCCACGCATTAATTCTGACCATTCAAAATGCAGTTCGGGAAATTCATCTAGCCAACGACTGATGTGGATATTGTCACGTGATTGATTTTGTTTTGGTTCAGAGCAGTCTGGTGTGAAACAGAATCAAAACGGCTGAAAATGTCATATATAATTTTTGATCGTAGTTCAGACCAACAGAATGCAGGTGTGAAACTATTTGCAAAAGAACAAAGAAATGGATTCCAGTCTTTATCCTGCACTAACATACACTGATTTTTAATTACTTTGCAATAAGCAGGCATTTGACTACAATCTAAGTTTTTGATATTATCGTGATGTTAGTTTGAGCTAATCTGCAACATTTTTTCAATGTGAAAACTAATAAACTAATTTCAGGAGGAGCATATACAGATCAGGCTCATTCATCACTTACAATCATTTAATTATTCAATCAGCACTAGAACAAACCCCTATAAATAATCAAGTATGTTCTACCCATTTATCTCTCTTGATCTTTAGCATCCCTCCAACACCCTATCACAGCACTTTGAAACGAATTTACTTTAGGGGGAGCATTTTGTGACTGGGCTATGCACTGCACTCTGACCCCTCTCTAACTCTCTCTTATCTGATAAAGGAATAACAAGTGTTAGGGTGTCCTTCCGAGCCTTGTAAGAGTCTTCTTCCCGGACAGCACTCCAAATATGCCTAAACTTATTAGGGCAATTATTTGTGAGTGCAAACACTTGAAGTATCATTATAAAACTGCACTCAAAAAGATTTGTTAAAATAATGTCAAAGTTTCTGTTCTTGTCACTATGTGTGCAAGTGCTTAGTAAGCTTCTGGGTCTGAGGTGCCGTTTACACAAGCACATTTCTGATTTAAAACACATATGTTTTGTTACATTACACATGGCTTCCACATTACTGTGCCATCTTAAACCCATGAAAATATAGTGTTTTGAAAACATTGAAAACCCCATTATGGTCAGATTTCAGTGCATACAGACTGAAACAAAGACTTTTAAAAAAATGTAATCTGAGGCTATCCACAATTGCTAGCGCACTGGCCTTCTGTAGGGTTGAATATCCTTTTAATTTTAGTGATTCGGGTTCTGATTCTGCTTATTGAATCTGGTTCTTATTGATTCTCATGTCCGATTTCAACATACTTTATTTAATTGCATGGTTCCCTGATTCATCAAGCTCCTCACTATAATACGTGTGGTAGACAACGTGTACAGATACCAGCAAGATATATCTATGCCCAATCTGCAGAATAATCTAATTTCGAGAGGATCACGTGCTTATGACTATTCATGGCTTGTTCCACATTAGCTAACGCTTGATTTACTAATCAAATGATTCCTAACTCACTATAAATAACCAGAGTTTCCCACCCACCCCTACTCCCCCTCCTTTCTAGATGGGTGACACAGTTGCCCAGTGTTTAGCACTGTTGCCTTACAGTAAGAATGTCTCTGGTGAAACTCCCTATTAAACCAGTTGACATATCTGTGCGGAGTTTGCTCGTTCTCCCCGTGCTAGCGTGTGTTTTCCCCAGGTTCTCCGGTTTCCTCCTACAGTCCAAAAAACACGCAACCTAATAAACTGAACATACCAAATTGGCATCAAGCCCTTAGCAAGCCGTATATCTCCTCAGCCACCTTATATCTGCCGTTAGCCAGAAATAAGTCAGGGGAGTTCATTGAGATCTACCTGAACTCAAACTCCCCTCTCGCCCTCCTAACAGGAGGGAGCTCAAGGCTTGAAGATCTTATAAACCCAGGGCTCTCTCCAGGGACAGCATGCCTAGCAAGCTTATTACCAATCATCAGCCAAGTGTGAACTCTTGAATACGTCATTTTAAAATGAAAATGCTCCAGTGTAAATGTAACGTGAAATTCAGATATGCTAATGATTGTTTATTTTCCAACATCCAATGTCAGTGGTTAATCAATATATCATAGCGTTTAAGGCTGCTTATAGGATTGGTGTACTTTAACCTTTCAAAGTTAATAAAAACATGCAGAACTTAAACTTGTTATTCATGGAAACTCTTCCCCTCTGCTGTCGCTCTCAAATAAAATTTTGCCTAAATGAATGGCATTTGGCCCTTAAGACACATGAGAACAAATGGCATTTGCTGTCAAAAGGTCCTAGTGCAGCAAAGCTCTTGAGTCGTATATTTTGTATTTCTGATGTTTGCTTTTTTTGGAGTTTGACAGACCATTTGTTTTTCATTTAGAACAAAGAAAAAATAGTTTTGCAGGCGTGTAAGAGGATTATTTTAGTTAAATTGTTGAGACACTTCTGTTGTTTTTATTCATTTAAAAGCTTGTTTTATAAAGTTTAAGTCATTTATTGTGTATTTGTGTCTGTATTTATGGTAGAACTTATGTTGAAGTTCTATTAGTTAAGCATTAATGGTTAACGTTAACATTATTAACATTAATTAACAATGAAAATAATCCCAGAGCATTTGTTAGATTTTCAATGAGAATTTCAACATTATTTTTAAAACTAACATTTAACTTATAGAGAAATTTAACAAATATTGTTTTTCCATTTTAGTTCAGTAGTTCAGGGACCAAGCTGACAAGAAAATGAATGAATGAATGTATTATTTGTTTACTGTAAATGTTAGAAATGACAAAAAGTTGAGTAATTCTTGACAAGATTTAACATTTCCTTTAAAATAAGCTGCTAAAGCCAATTCAAAGTGATAAACTATAAACTACATAACAAAAAGGTTTTAACCTCACACTGATTTACCCAATTTTCCATATAAAAACCTAGAAGAAGAAAAAGTTCCAGCAGAAAGGGTGTAATTGTTTTCACAGTCTTGTTGAAAGAAAATACACAGCTGCTGTTTCTCACCAACATTTACAGGCTTCAGTGTCAATCTCTAAAGCTTTTTCCTAATGATCGTGTTCAAACTTGAGACCGTAATTTCCTCCGATTTCAGATGACCTTTTGAAATGTGCAGTTTGAGCTGTCAGTTTAATTGTCTTTTATAGCCTAAAGATATGTTCCTAATAATGTGCACTAATGAGCTTTCATCTGTGCAGCACTTTGGTTGGCGCCATTCAAAAAGCTGGCTTGACGGAGCTCCTGAATAAAAAAGGAACCTACACCTTCTTCGCACCAACCAACGCTGCTTTCAGTGCATTGCCGTCCGCTGACCTCAACAAACTCATGAGTAATGTCTCACCTTGTCAGTCAGTCAGAAAAGCAGACGTTTAGTGCATGATTACATATATTCTGGTCAGATTTACTTAAGTGGATGTGCAGCATATTCAACACTTATTGTGACCTTGGATCGCAAAATAAGTGTCTATTTAGGGAAATGAAATGTAATCTGAAAGCTGTATAAATAATCTTTCCATCGATTGGCAATATTTGGTCAAAATACAAATAACCTATTTTAACTAATATTTAAATAATCGAAAAGTTGAGAAAATTGCTTTTAAAGTTCTCCAGATAGAGTACTTAGCAGTGCACACTACTAAACAAAAATTAAGTTATAATGTGTTTACTAGAGATGTCCTGATAAGGGTTTTTTTGCCCCCGAGTCTGAGTCATTTGATTTTGAGTATCTGCCGATACGGAAATCCAATCCGATACTTCTGTAATACGTTAATAAAAATATAGAAGAGTAAAGAAACAAATCCAATATGTTCCTTATTTTTATTTAATTCACGTTAATTTAAAATTCAACAATTCTGTTTACAAACAGAGCATTTCTGTGAGGTAACTTGAGCAATCAAGTAATAAATAACAAATTCTTTACTTTTGGACTTTAGTGCAACAGTAAATATATTAAAAAAAAAATTCTCTGTGGGCAATGCCAAGTTTACATACAGTATCTCATAGTTTGCTATGGCAATGTTGTTGTCATCAACTTTAAAATATCTCCAGACCTCCAGAATAAAAGCAACAATTTTATCTCAATGACAACATAACAAAGAAAGGGTTTCTAGTGTTTTCACTGACCAAATAAATTTGATTTTTAAAATATAAACAAATATTTAACATGTGCTTAGATAACATATATGCAGTGCTCAGCATATATCACAAATCTATCTTTTAAATTCATATTTTTAATAGGAAGCTATACAATATTATATCTGTGCATATACATTAGATTAGTCAGTACTAAAGCCAAATCTGGAGCTTCTCTAACCAAATAACTTACGATAAGGGTCCAAAAACTAGTACAGCCAAATTTATTTGTTATAGAAAAATATTAAATACAACTTTTAAAAAAGAGGAAAAATCAAGAGAAGCAAAAAAAAAAAAAAAAGTTTTGTTGAAATTTTGTAGGTTGTAATTAAGTTTTGCAATATTTTGCTTGAATTTAATTGTATTATCTTTTAATTTCTAAATATGTTTGGTGACTAAAATATTATTTTAATAAATAATTTCTGTTTAATAAACCTGTTTTGTTTAAATGCACCAAAATACATTGCCTATATTCACTGAGAAATTGATACAAATATTCATTTTCAAAAAGGGGTGAACTCAATTATGCTGAGCACTGTATATACAATTTTGTTTGTCAGTAAAGACACATAAAATCTTTGATTGTTGTTGTTCATTTGTCAGTTAAATAAAAGTAAATGTGAACTGGCAAATTACAGCTTCTTCATTATACTGCGTTTTACAATAATCTCCCATTTTTTTTTCAGAATTGTGTTTGTATTTTCATCTGATGTTTTTCTGCTTTGAAAACATAGGAGACCCTAAAGAGCTGGCTAACATCCTCAAATACCACATTGGAGATGAGTTCCTGGTCAGTGGAGCTGTGACCTCTCATACCAGACTGAAGCCCCTAGCTGGAGACAAACTGGAGTTGGGCACTGTCAGTATACTGCCATCAATCTCTGCTTATTATTGAGATACGTACAGGCTGATGTATTGCTATGGGAATGTATTGCTATGGGACTGGGGTTAGATTGTGTTTTATGCTCACCAAGGCTGCTTTTATTCCAACAAAAACAATAAAAACAGTCATATTTTAACAAATTTATAGAACATATTTCTGTTTTAGTATATTTAGAATGTAAATAATAGCTGAATAAACCAATATTGAAAATACTGACCTTAAACATTTGAATTTTACTGTACATTTATTTCTTTAACAAAAATCTAAAATGATTTAATTACTGTCATGTTAGTTCAAAATATATACTCTAAGAATATATAGTATTACTGTAAATCAATTTGAAAGTGTTTTTGTTTATTTAGTTTATTTTGTGATCTTTTGTCACTAAATATACAATCACACACAATTGAATAATTACATTATTGAACATTTATTTTAAAAATTTCAATAACTTAGAATAACTAAAACAAGAAATAGAATAACTATAATAAAATATGAAGCAATATATATTTAAAAATAAAATATTCCCTACATTTAATAACTCTTTTTGTTCATTCAGTTTTTTTCTTTTTTCTTTTCAGCGTAACTCAACCATATATGTGAACCGTGTGCCTGTGGTGGAGTCTGATCTGATGGCTACCAATGGAGTTGTGCACGCTGTTAATGTCATCATCAAGCCACTGCGTAAGCCAAGGATTCCTTAAACACTGTGATAAAAGAACTATATTGTTTTAACAGTTCATAACAGCGATGTGTCCATCTGTTTTAGCTCCTAAAATTGTGAGTGACCAGGCCGAAGGCTCAACAATCAGACGCACATCTGCTGTCAGGGTTAGTATATACAATAAACCAATTTTCCAGTACTTTTACTTGTTTATGAATTGTCGTTGTGCCTCTAACTTATTTATAAATGATAAAGAAAAATGTTTATATTGGGTTTTTATTTTTTGTTCTAGGCTGGGTCTCAAGTATCCAAAAATGGTAAGTAATGTTGGCTAACTTCACTTTTCTCACATCAATGCAGTTATTAGTCTCATCTGTACTTTTGTGATGATACTGAAATACAGCATCATTGAGTACACCCCATTTTGAAAACGAATATTTTTATCCATTTAGAGATATTTATTAAAGTCATGCTTTAGTCACCAAACATATTTAGAAATTAAAAGCTAGTCAAATTAAATTCAAGCTAAATATTGAAAAAAAATTAAACTCAATTTTTTTTTTTTTTTTTGCTTCTCTTGATCTTTCCTCTTTTTAAAATTTGTATTAAATATTTTTCTAAAAAATATAAATATGGCTGTACTAGTTTTTGGGCCATTATCAAAAGTTATTTTGTTAGATTATCTCCAGATTTGGCTCCAGTACTGACTGATCTAATGTATATGCACAAATTTAATATTGTATAGCTCCCTATTGAAAATATTAATTTAAAAGATAGATTTGTGAGGGGTGTACTCATATATGCTGAGCACTGTATGTAAAATAAAATAATAAATAATAATTTTTTGCCACATTACAGATGATCTCTTCCAGAAGGTTCTGAGAAGTCACAGCAGCAGAACATTGTCTCGTGTCCAGTAAACGCTTTCTACAAAGTAAAACTGTAGTTCATTTTAACCCTCACCACTTTCAGAGGATGGAAACACAGAGTTTGGTGTCTTATTTTAAGAAGAGCTAATTAGAAGATTAAGAAAATCCAGAGAACAACATACAGAAATCTGAAAATGCAAAGCAGTTCAACAATGCATTTTTTTCAAATGCCGAAGATCCTTGGATGGAAAGCAGTGTTATTTTTCAAATCTCATAAATTGATTATATCAGGTTGCCATGGCACTTCATGTGTTATGATTTATTCAGTCTGCATTTTTGAATCTGATGTCGGTGTTCGATTTATCTTACTTTGTCAGATTGTCCTCCCATTTAGAAAAGTAAGTTGCACATTTTGATGACGCATTATGCTACCCATCAGGTTTTGCTACCAGTGTTAACTTTAATGTAGAGTAGTGTGATATGAAGCTGTAATATCGCCCTACCTAATCCCAAACCCCAACCTCAGAACCATTCAAAAACAATGTTGGGAGCATAATCTGATGGGTAGGAGGAAATGTCAGGAGACCAGTTCATTAATAACATTTTTGTATTTCTCTCTTTATCATTTTTGTAATGTTTTTGGTTGTATTTGTTATACCTGTAGCATGTTTGCATGGTTTAAGCTGGAACAAATGCTATTTTGTGCACATAAAAAACGACCAAAATGATGTCTTCATGTGTAATGTAAGACCTGTAACTTGTGCAGATTATTCATGTTTATATGCCAAAGATATTTTGTGAAGAACCAAAGATCACTGTCTGCATATTTCATTATAACATGACTGTTTTGTAGCCACAGAGTTATAGTTTACATATAACTAGTAAGTGCCCTTGAATGTAGTTTGCGCTGTCTGTTACAAGCCAATTTGTCAGTTCACTGAGCTGAATTCACAATGTGGTGGATTGTCATAATGTGTTGATTAATGTGTGTGGCAATAAAACTCTCACTCAGTTGATTGCTCACATTATTCATGACTAAATCGTTTCTCTGTTCGCTCGCTTGAATGTAAATTCTGCATGAAAACCACAAGCAGAAAAATTCCAGCAGTCACTATTTAATGTTTATCATTGTTCCTGGTGTAGGTGATTTTAGCAGAAGCTGGGAGGAATATTCTAATTCTAGAAGCAAAGACTGGAAAAAAAGATGTCTTGTGCAAGATCAATATTATCTATTTTTCCAGAAGAATTGTTTCTTTTCACCGGCCACTTTATTAGGTACACCATACTAGTACCAGTTGGACCCTCTTTTGCTTTCAGAACTGCCTTAATCCTTCGTGAGATAGATTCAACAAGTTACTGGAAATATTCATCTGAGACTTTTGTCCTTTTTGACATGATGGCTTCAAGCCATCAATGCTGGCATCAGGCATCAATCTGTATGTGCAGATTTGTCGGCTGCACATACATGATACGAATCTCCCATTCCACCACATCCCAAGGTGCTCTATTAGATTGAGTTCTGGTGACTGTGGAGGCCTTTTGAGTTCAGTGAACTCATTGTCATGTTCAAGAAACCAGTCAGATGATTCGGGCTTTATGACATAGTGTGTTATCCTACTGGAAATAGCCATCAGAAGATGGGTACACTGTGGTCATAAAGGATTGGAAATGATAAGCAACAATACTCAGGTAGACATGATGCTCAATTGGCACTAATGGGCTCAATGTGTGCCAAGAAAATATCCCCCACACCATTACACCACCATCACCAGCCTGAACCGTTGATACAAGGCAGGATTCTTTTATGTTGTTAATGCCAAATTCTGACTCTACCATCAAAATATTGCATTAGAAACTGAGACTTATCAGCAGGCAAAGTTTTTCCAATCTTTTATTGTCTAGTTTTGGTGAGCCTACGCAAATTGTAGCCTCATTTTCCTGTTTTTAGCTAACAGGAGTGGCACCCGGTATGGTTCTGCTGCTGTAGCCCATCTGCCTCAAGGTTCGACGTGTTGTGCATTCAGAGATGCTCTTCTGCATACCTCGGTTGTAACGAGTGGTTATTTGAGTTATTGTTGCCTTTCTATCAGCTGGAACCAGTCTGGCCATTCTCCTCTGACATCTGGCATCAGCAAGGCATTTGCGCCCACAGAATATATATGGATATATGGATATTTTCTCTTTTTCTGACTATTCTCTGTAAACCCTAGAGATGGTTGTGCGTGAAAATCCCAGTAAATCAGCAGTTTCAGCAGATGCTCAGTTTGAACAGCAGCAGATCGTCTCGACCATGTCTGCATGCCTAAATGCAAAAATTTGCATTAACGAGCAGTTAGACTGGTGTAATAAAGTGGTTGCTGAGTGTATATTAAGAGGAAAAAATGCACAAAAACAAACACATCAATTTTAATGGGTGCTCAGACAAACAATACAAAGTACAAAAACATAATCAAAAAGGAGACAACACCATAGCTCAAAAAATACTAATTTAGTAAATTAAAAAGCCTAACACAAAGCTTGTAACATCAGTCTGATGAAGAGCCAGTGTACTCAAAATGTTACGTGTTAGCCTTTTTATTTAATAAATTGGTATTTTTAATTATATACATCCTAAAGGTACATTTCCAGGATTTTTTTAATCAAGAGTATATTTTTGTATACTCTAAACTTTTATTTGAGCTTCATAGAGTGTTTTCTAAAATATATATATATATATATAAGTATTATTATTATTATTATTATTATTATTATTATTATTATTATTATTATCATCATGAAGATGACTTAGTGAACCATTAACAGACCAGGACAAACTTATTTTTCATTTTTGGACCAGACTGAAAGAACCGACAACCAAGGTACACGTGTGAACATTCTTTTTCTAGACAGCACCTAATTGGGCAAAAATCAGCATAGTGCAGGATGAGTCATCAATATTTTCTTCTGTTTTTTTTCTCTTTTTTTAGATGAAAAGGCTGATGCAAATATCTGACAATGAAAGGTTTTTGTAGTTTTACATATAGGCTATACTGTAGGGTAGGTCATTACCATAAACCCAACTATAAAAGCTATAAAACCTTTATCTTAATTTCATGAGGTCTTAAATGTTGTTACACCTATTTCATTTACAATTAAAGGTTTGTTGGATTTATTATCCACATTCTGCATTTTTTTCTCCGATAATCCAAACAGACGTGCAATTTTTGGATCTCAACCAACCGCTGGTCTTTGAAAAGAGCTTCCGCATGACTTTACATGGAAAGATGCCTGTTGTTTAAACCTGCCATTTGACTTTACTGTGCTTGTTATATTGCCGTGTAAACTCAGGAAGCGTTTGAGGATGGTAAACAGAGCTTCAGTTCCCTGCCGCGGGATGTCTCAAGCTGCCCAACAGTGCTGGAGTAGGAAACATATGTGCGCTGTATCCTTTCTCAGCTGGCAGCCTCGACCAAACATTCCAACAGGCTTTTTGCTCCCGGAGCGAGACACTGGCACACTGTTTAGTGGCACAGAGCTTTAGTGTTGGCTAACATACAAGTTAAGTTGTCACAGTGTACAGTATCGCAACCAGTGGTCAGTTTGCTGCAACATATTAAATATATCCTCATCTCCTTTTAGAAACAGCTGCTCAACTCTATGCTTAACCACACGTTTGAGTCAATTATGCCACTGCACGGAAGCAAATGTCAAGTCTAATCCACTTACATCTGAATTAAATTCAGGGTTGCACAGCAGGATGCCTGGGACCTTCATAAATAATCTGATGTCTGTTTTGCTTTAGTATATTTACTATTCTGACTTCCCACATTTAAATCAGGTAACCAGGTTTGGAAAAAAAAACGTTGTTAAGTTTGGCAATTTCATGGATGATTTATGGTTCTGTGTGTTTTAGGGTGAACTGCATAAATAAAGTATTGGAAAGGTGTTCCTATTACACCTACACACGGCTACTATTGAGATATCTCTCATTTCAAATGTGAAACACATGTCCAGATGTTAATGTTTCACTCTCTGTGTGTCAAAAGTTGGCTTCATGTGGTCACATGTCCAATAGCTTAAAATATTTAGATTATACTCTATATTATTAAGTTAACTAGTTTTTGCTTGTAATTGTATCTGACAAAGCAATGAGTCTTATTACATTAGATAGTATACTGTTACGTTACATGTAAACATATATCTGTAATTACTTTGAGCTGACAGTGAGGTGGCAAGGACAAAGTTTGGTGTCAATATGCAAAGAAAATGTTTCAGAAATGAAGCCACAGTTTTAGTTTCACAAATTCATCTGTGTTATAGATGACCTATCAGGCTCATGTTTTAGAAGATGCCCCTAGAGTGTGTATGTGAAGTTTCAGCTCCATGCTACACAAATAATGTTTGTAACTTTGTAAATTCCCCTTTAGGCTTTGATCCAAATTGTGCTGCTTTGGCTTTAAATTCAAACGAGACTGTCCTGTTTTTAAAAGAGGGCGAAGCTACAAATGCCTATGTGTCAGCATAGTGGCTGTGGCTCAATTCCAAAAATGCAGAGAATAGACTCATGTTCTTGTGGAGACCATTCTAGCCAAGTTACCTCAGAAAAACGAACTTGGGAGACCGCGAGAACAGAGAACATGTCCTGTGAGAAATGAAATGCTGTATTCTTCCTGATGGTCACAAGAGCTTCACGCATTTTAATGAAAAGTGATTTAAACATTACAACATTCCTACAATGATTTAATGTTTTTTCCCTTTTCACAATATAAACTATAAAAACCTTACAAATATATGTTGCACAATACAAACAACTCATTCATTCTCCTTCAGCTTAGTCCCTTGATTCATCAGGGTTCGCCATAGCGGAATGAACCTCCAACTAATCCAGCATATGTTTACCCAGCGGATGCCATTCCAGCTGCAACCCAGTACTGGGAAACATCCACACACACTCATTTACACACATACACAATGGACAATTTAGTTTATTCAATTCACCTAGCGCATGTGTTTGGACTGGAGGAAACCCACGTCAACATAGAGAGAACATGCATACACCACACAGAAATGCCAACTGACCCAGCCAGTACTTGAACCAGCGACCTTCTTGCTGTGAGGCAACAGTGCTTACCACTGAGCCTCCATGTTGAATTAAAACTAATTTTCATTTAGGGAAACTGCTGAGACAAATAAGTTATATCTCTGAACTTGAATAAGAAACCTATATAAAATGCTGTGCTCTTCACTTTCTTTATTCAGCTACAATGATTTCTGGGTCTTTTCGAGCAAGTTTTGCGCTCAAGTCTGCATCCACGCTGCACGCATCCTCAATATCAAGAATACATCCGGGAACTTTCCGCATCCTCTGTTCTTGCGGTCTTGAGTTTTGGAACTGAACTTTGGCAGTTGATGATGACATAACATGAGAACACGAGAATGCAAGAACGGTGATTGAGAAACAGCCAGTGGCAGATTCAAAAACAAAACTAATGGCCTATGCTAATGAGGGAGAGATCATTATTAATGTGCAGGGCTTCCCCCTCTGATGACATGTACAAAGGGAGAATGTCAGTCCAAGTGTTTCTGTTTTTATTCAATTCAGTTCAAGTTTATATACTGTAGCGCTTTTGTAGATTGCGTCAAAGCCGTTTTTATGAAGTGTGAAAATAATATTTTTTTACCATTAGAAGCTGGTTATATTCACACACTCTTGCCACACAACTGTGTTTAAACCTCTTAAAAAGTGATTTTTGCATAACAGGTCCCCCTTTAATAAGAAGGTTTATGTGTGCATGGTCTAAAGAAAATGATTAGCATATTTGAAAAAGGGTAAGTCATGGAATGACTGTAAAATGTAGTTTATTTCTTAACTAATTTTGAGAGGGTCACATGCTCACGATTGATCATGGCTGGTCCTGCATCAGCTTTACATATTGCGCCAGTCAAATGAAGACTAACTCACTATAAACAACCAGTGTTTCTCACTACAGTCATATTTATCTTGTAATGCCCCCTTCCAGGCTCACTTCTCCCCTTCTCTTGTT